ATTCAAGGAGAAAAGCACAAGGTTTTAGAGGAAGGGCTGGCCAGCACAAAACACATGGAGCATGGCTCTGTAGTGGCTCCAGAACAGTGAGAGGAGGAAGAACCAGGGAAGGGCCACCAGGAGTTTTGTGAGATAGGAAAGCTTGCAGGAAATTGTGGTGCATGGAAGCCAGGTGGAGAAGGCTAAAGTAGTTATTTTGTTTAATAACTTCTTACATGTACTTATTTTATGTGGGGCAGGGTGGGAGGAAGCACATGTGTGCCATGGGGACCATCTTGGAGTGGGTTCTTTCTATCATGTGGAGTATGGGGATGAAACTCAGATTGCCAGCCATGGTGTTGAGCACCTTTATTTGGTGAGCCATCATGCTGCCCCATGGAAAGGCTGGGTTTGAAGGAAGAAAGTCACCTTGGGCTTTCTGTTTTGCTAGCTTTTGGCAGACCTGCTAGCTGTGGGGATGGGGATGTTCAACAGCTGTAGCTAAACAGTGGGTGTAGTTGTGTTGGGGGCAGAGAGGCTCATGCAAGGAAGGAGGCCAGAAGACACAGCCATGTGAGGAGTCTATGCAGGAAGGATGACAGAAACAGGAGTGTAGCAAGAACAGGCTGAGAGGAATAGTAGAACTGAAAGAGGACTCCTGAGGAGATGGGTGTAGAAGGCTACAAGGTGAATAATCACAACAAAGAGGCAGGTGATGTTGGGATTGCATCCAGACACAGGCCTCTGTGCTTCAATGGGGACATGCCCATTTCGTTAAGGGACATACTGGGGCGTACTTCAGTCATGAAGATGAGAGAAATTCAGGGTTATTCCTGCCTGAATTTGAGGTCAGCCTGGGCTACATGAGATCCTATCTCAAAACCAAATTCTTTAGATAAATTAGATATATAAATGACCAGTGTTTCGGACCACTATTTCTGTTACAATAAGTGTTAACATTAAATGAAATTAAAATGTATTAAAAATTAATTCATTGTCCTCAGTGATCTGCCAAAAGCCTGCATAAAGCCCAACTAGCCTTCTGTGTTGGAATTTAGGGGGCTTTTGAGTGGCCTATGCACTGGAAATTGTAAGGTCCAGCTCTCTATAGTTCTTGGTGGATGTCGCCATCTAGTGTCGGTAAGTTGTCTTTCTTGAGTTTTCTTAAATTTTAAAACCTGGATAAAGGGAATTTGATTTAGTTCAAAATACATTGAGGTTCTTGGTATTTTTTATTTTTCTTTAAATAATAGACTGTAGTAATTGCCTATGTCTACTCACTAAGCACCATTAAAATATAAGTAAGACAAGCTGGGCCCTATGGGCATAGGCCTGTACTTTTAGCTACTTAGGAGATTATCAGGAGGATCACAAATTCAGGTCCAGCCTGAGCAACACAATGAGACATTGCCTCATAATAAAAAGCCAAAAAGGGACTTGGAATGGAGTACCTTGGGTTCAATTCCTAGTATGTGTGTCTCTGTCTTTTTCTACACACACACCCTCAAATATCTAAATATTGGTTTGTCTGTTTTAGATAGAATGAATCTTTTTAGAACGGTTCTTGAGGTAGAATTCCTTTACTGTAATTGAAAGCTGTTTTTGATTGGTTGATTGATTGGTTGGTTGGTTGATTGATTGATTGATTGATTTTGAGACAGGATCTCTCTACATAGCTTTGGCTATTCTGGCTGTTATGTAGACCAGGCTGGCCTTGAACTCACAAAGATCCTGCCTTTGCCTCCCAAGTGCTGGCACTAAGTAAGTGTCCACGATGTGCCTCCAGTTGTTTTATGTTTAAACTGTGGTATCAAGAGAGTTCCAGAGTTACTCCTGAACTATAGATCTAACTATGGCTGGGCCCTTTGAGAGTCACTCAGGGATGTCACTGGGAGAAGGCAATTTAAGAATAGGAGTGGTGGGTTGGAGAGATGGCTCAGAGGTTAAGAGCACTGACTGTTCTTCCAGAGGTCCTGAATTCAATTCCCAGCAACCACATGGTGGCTCACAACCATCTGTAATGAGATCTTTGTGCTCTCTTCTGGAATGGAGGCAGAACAGTGTATACATAATAAATCTTTTTAAAAAAGAGAGAGAGAGAATAGGAGTGGCATTGGACACACTTGAGATGATGTTGAAAAACAACTCCATTTCACAGCCACAGTCATTTGTAAAGTGTTGACTAAGAGCTGCTGTTTGCTTTGCAGATTGGCAAGAACAGCATGATTATGTGAAAGTAGGTTTCCTCCCCTCCCCTGCCCTGCCCTGCCCTGCTCTTCTCTCTTCCTGAAACTGGGTTTCTCTGTCCTGGAACTCAATCTGTAGACCAGGCTGGCTTTGAACTCACAGAGATCCACCTGCCTGTGCCTCCCACCACAGACTGGGCAGTAGGTTTTTCTTTATTTGGGTATTGCTACGACAGTGGTGCCAAGCAATGAATAAGTAAATAAACAAACAAACAAAATTTTAAAGATGCCACTTGATTGTCAGTGTTAGTGGATTTAAATGCTGTTTCTGTGTTCTGTTTCTTAAGGGCTGCCTTAGGGACAGCCCATTTGCCTATAGTTCTGGAGTTTCCTGCGGAACTTCTCTGAATTAATTTGGCATTCAAATCTTTCATTAGTCCTACAGTTCGCACAGTTGGAAAGAGCCTAGCCTTAATGTAGAGCTGTTTGTGTTGGGGTGAGGAATTCTAGCAGGAACAAAGAGAGAGAGTTTTCCATGTTTGGAAAGAAAGCCAAAGGCTCTCATGCCATGGCTGGGTATGAGAGAGAACATTGCAGTGCTGATGGTGAAGAGTGGCACTGGCTGTGCATGATACTGGTAGTCCTGTTGAGTGCTTGGCTGTGCATGATACTGGTAGTCCTGTTGAGTGCTTGGCTGTGCATGGTGGTGCTGGGTGGCTAGGTATGCACAGTGGTGCTAGGTGCCTGAGTGCACACAGTATACTGGAGAAGGATGCTGTTTCCTTGTAAACCTGTTATGGTGCCGGGTGGTGGTGGCGCACGCCTTTAATCCCAGCACTCGGGAGGCAGAGGCAGGCAGATCTCTGTGAGTTTGAGGCCAGCACAAATGAAAAAAACCTGTTATAGTCTGATTAGAAGAATTCCACAGGTATGTGTGATAGATCTTAAGTTATCTCGAATTTATTCTTGTAGAATAAATTGATTTCATCTGCATATTGATTTAATTTACTTGCTTGTTGACTAGAATTTTCTTGATAGTAAACTAAAAAGTGTAAGCACAGTTTATTAGAACTTCCTCTCTCCGTCCCTCCCTCCCTCTCTCCCTTCCTTCTTCCTGATGACCTTTAATCCTCCTCCTCTTGCCTTCACCTTTCAAGAATTAGAGACAGGCATTGTCTTGAGCTCTTGAGCAAATTTCCTCAGCCTCCTAAGCTGAAGTTTTGTATCTGCAGAATGCAGTGGGTAACAGTTACAAAGCCTCCTATATATTTTACACAGTGCTCAAAAGCACAAATGGTAACCCCAGAACTTTAGAGGATGAGATGAGGATTTTTGACTAGCCTGGACTACATAGCCAAACTCTGTCTCAAAACAACAAAATAAGATTAATCCAAAATAATCACAGTTATCAGTGTAAACATTTGTGTGCATACACATGCGTGTGTGTGCGTGCGTGCATGTGCGTGTGTAAGGATCATTAAAACTAGGAATACAAACAACTGCAGGTCCTGTGTGGGACCTAGACACTGTATTATCATGTACCAAGAATTAAACATGGACAGCTATCTGTGGAAGTTTCTAAACATCCTCACTGCACTTAATTTATGTTGTCCTGGGAGGAGTCAGAAATTTACATTGTCTTCAGAAATTTACAAGAGTGTTGGCCAAGGAGAATATCCATCTTGTAATTCTTTTCTTGAGTGGGATTTAAGAAAGCTGAAAAGATCTTGAGTTGCTTTCTGCTTTAGTAATAGACCATAAAGGTCTTCAGTTTGGGAGCTGGGAAGATGGCTTAGTCGGTGAAATACTTACCATATAAACATGAATACCTTAGTTCAGTCACCAAAACTCATGTAAGAAAAGCCAGGGACAGTGGTGTCTATGTTTGTAGTCTCAGCCCTGAAGAGAAAGACTAAAGGATCCCTTGAACTAGACAGCCAGCCAGTCAGTCATACCTAGTAAGCAAGCGCCAGACCAATAGGATACACTGTCTCAAACACTAAGGTAGGGAGTGATTAAGGAATGTGTCAGGATTGACCTCTGGCCACCCAATACTTAAAATACACTCTTGAACACGGATGTACATATTCCTCTCCTCAGAAAACTCTCATTTGGATTAGGTCACATCAGTAATGATCTGTTTTTGTATAAGGAGGAATATAATGTGTTGTTTCCTCAACTGTACTCCCCCAGGCAGATATGATGTCTATGTGTCCTCTTAAACAGGTAGCCTAGAGCACTCATGGCAGTAGCTGGGGAGCTGAATGCCTGTGTGTCTGCCTGGGGTTTTTTCCTGCCTAGGCTTATTAAATTGAATTGGTGAGTGTTGGTGAGTCTCTGGGGAAGGAACCTGGGTGAGACCTGAGCCTTGTTACTAGCACTCAGTGGCTTTCCTCACCTCTTCCACCTCCTTCTTTTTTCAGTCTACACTCCATGACTCACTCATGCATAAATGGTGGCCATGGAGCCTTGTACTAAAGCACTCACTGACCATGTGTATTCTGCAAATGGAAGTTAGGTGGTATGAATAGCATTGTTTCTTTAACTCTCCACATTGCCTCTTTGTTACCTGGAGCTTTCCAGACATCTTCACTGCACTTAATTTAATTGTGCATCATTGTAAAATTATATTACATTTACTGTTTTGTATGTGTTTGTATGATAACTAGTGAGAATGACTCTTAAAGCAAAATAATATGTACTTTATGTTGGTTGGAATTACTTTTAAGTTGTTTAGTAAGTCATCCTAATAGTTCAGGTCAACTATAGTGCTAGCCTAGGTGCTTGGTTTCTTCTGGTGCTGCACTTGTCACTCATGTGGGCTGGTTTTCGCAGGGCGACCTGAAGGCTTACCTGCGCAATGAGCAAGAGCATGTGCGGGGCGATTCACAGACCATGCTGCTGCAGAGGATGGCGTGTGAGATTGCCGCCGGGTTGGCAGCCATGCACAAACTGCACTTCCTTCACAGGTATGTCTCACCGGGCACAGGCTGACCTTCACATTACTGCTGTTGCTGCTATCTGAAGAGGTTGTGAGGTTTGGGAAGAAGGGCTGGGAATGGATGCAGCTTAGTGGTAGACTGCTAACATGCCTAAAACTCTGGGCTTGATAAATTGGGCATAGTGGTACACGTATATAATCCCAACACTCAGGAGGCAGGAGAATCAGAAAGAAGTTCAAGGACATCCTTGACCACATAGTGAGTTTGAGGCCAACTTGGGATACATGATACTCTATCCCAAACTGTCAAACAAAAAACAAAGGCAAGAATGGAGGAAGGAAGAAACCAAAGAGATCAGGTTATAGCGTGAGCTCTTTGCCTAAAGATGTATTGGTAAATAAAGGCAGAGCTGGGCTTCAGTTAAACCAACACCAAGGAATAGAATGAATATAGTCAGAGTCTAGAAATTACTTGAGGAATTGAAGCAGTGTTAGAAGTCTGCAAGCCTCAGAGTAGGGAGTGAATGTACCTGGTTCTCTCCTGACTCTGGCTTATTGAGTCTGATCAGTCAGCTTTAGGCTTGTGATTATACTCAGGATCTCAGTTTATGTGTCTGTTTACAGTCCTGAGAAAGAGTGCTGTAGGCCAGCAATGCCTCTTTCCATTAGGTGGTGGCTTTGGTTTCTGGTTAGTGCACAGGCTGGTTTAAGAATGTGGGGATTAGGTCTGAAGAGGCCTCTTTCTGTTTGTACACCATAGGCTTCCTTCTGTCCTAGCATAGGTGACTGACTGGTCTGCTCCATGAATTGGAAAGGAGAGTCCTACTTATTCTCCTTTAGACTTTAGGCTTTTGAGTGCCAACTTTTCAAAATAGATTTCTTTATTTGTATGTAGGGTCAGATTCCTTTTTTATTCAAAATGTATATTTTACACGTTAGTTTTACCTTTCTGGGTTTTTTTCCCCCTTTTTTTGCTTTTAAAAAATTTAAGTTAGAAACAAGCTTGTTTCACATGTCAATCTCAGCTCCCCAGATTCCTTCTTGATCACTGTCTGTCTTTGAGTGAAAATACCTTTGAGGCAGGAGCTCTTTCTAGCTGGTGGTATGAGTGGGGCTATGGGCTTGAGATGGTAATTCTATTCCTCATGCTTGCATAGCATCTTTGCATCCTGATGTTTGTTGATACTGTGTTACTTTCTAGGTCTCTAGGGAAGTTTGGCAGGGCCTCTTTAGTTGACTTTAAGTAATCCAGAAGACTCTTCACCCAACTATTTGAAAAAGCACACCTGTCTAGAGGAGATGTCTGTGAATTTGTTTTTGTTTTTCTTTGGTTGGTTTGGTTTGGTTTTTTGAGACAGGGAATCTCTTTCTCTCTGCAGCCTTGTCTGTTGCTCTGTAAACCAGGCTGGTCTTGAATTCAGAGATCCACCTGCCTCTGCCCCCTGAGTGCTGGGATTAAAGGTGTGCCCCACCACTCCCTGGCAAAATATTGTATTTTTAAAATAAGCCAGGCATTGGTGGCACATGTGTTTAATTCCAGCACTCCAGAGGCAAAGGCAGACAGATCTCTGAGTTTGAGGCCAGCCTGGTCTACAGAGTTCTAGAATGGTCAAGGCTATAGAGAGAAACCCTTTACTGAAAACCAACCACAACAAAAAAGTCTTGAACTAGAGAAATGGCTCAAGGATTAAGACTGCTCTTTTAGAAGACCCAAGTTCTGTTTCCAGCACCCACAGCAGGCAGCTCAACTGTGTGTAACACCAATATCAGGGGATCTGGCTTCTCTGCTGTTCCCAGGATTAAATCTTTTTAAAATTTTTAAATAAAAAGCAAGTCTGAAAGTAATTTATTTTAAGTATGAATCATTTATTTATTATTTGTTTATGGGAAAACACCTGGTTATATTTGGGGATGTGGTGAGCAATATCAGACTTGCTCCTTTTACATGCTCATGTTTACTTCAGGGTTGGAAGAAAAAAAGGCAGTAGTTTTTCCTCCACATCCATTTCTTGATTGATTTGCAGTAGTAAACAAATTATTTTGATAAGGTATTTCTAATTGTGAAAGGTGGGCCTGGAGAGAAGGCACATTGCCTATCATACAGAAGACCAGGTCAGTTCCCAGCACCCACAGCTCATCAGCACCTGGAACATCCCCTCCAGAGAATCCAGTGTCCTCTTCTGGCCTCAATGGCAGCTGCACACACATAGACACACACACAAATGTAATTAGAACATGAAAATCAGCAACATGAAGTTCCCAGAGATGACTGGAAAGTGTGCTTGAGTCCTGCTCACCACTGTGTTCTTACAGATGTCATAGCCAGTAATGTTTTCCCATGCTTCCTCAAGGAAAAGTCTTAAGAGACTTGAAAACAAATAAAGATAAATCATATGATTTGGATGATATTCAAGAACAAAGACTCAAGGTACAGAAGCACCCTGGAACCATTGACAGCTGTTACATTCTACTTTTTAAAACAACTGCTCTGGGCAATAGCTTGGTCGGTAAAGAGCTTAATAGGACCAAGTTTGACTCTGTGTTTTTTATTTATTTAATTTATTATCCACCAGATTTATCTTCTTTTTATGTGTATGAGTATTTGCCTGTGTGTATGTATGTATACCACACACAAGCATTGCCCTCAGAGTCCAGAGAGGGCATTGGGTCCCTGGAACTAGAGTTACAGTTGTGAGCCACCATATCCAAATGGGGAAGAAACCCAGGTCCTCTGCAAGAGCAGCAAGTACCTTTTAACCACTGAGCCATCTTTCCAGTTCCAATCGTGTTTTATTTTTATTTTTATTTTGTAAAATCGAGGGTGGCGTTGCATGCTTGTAATCCCAGTCCTGGGCAGGCAGGGTGGGGGAGTGGTATTATAAGACAGTGTCTGAGGAGCAGCACCTGAGGTTATCCTCTGGCCTCTGCACACACATGTGCATACATAACTGCACACTCAGGTGTCCATATACACACCACACACACACACACCACACACACACAGGCTCTTTGATATGAAGTTTCATGTGGGGCAAACTTCTGTTCTTTATAAATTCTTCTTGTGTGGGTAGCCTTCCATATGGCATTATTTTAAAATTAAGATTTAGAATATTGGTTGAGTCAGAGAAAACTTGGTTGAAATAGACCAGCCCACCTGTCTAACCCGAAGCTGTCCTCATGTTGGAAACTGATCTTGTAAATCACCCTAGTTAAAATTTGTTTTTACATAATGTTTAAAGAGAGTCTTATCTCAGGGTCTCAGGCAGCCTGTGTTTCAAAGGTGGCATATCCAGCCTTCCTGAAGGTCGTGTGAACAGCACATGCTGCTGTTACCTTTTCACAGGTGATCCAGAGCCTAGGGTCCCTTGCCCTCCACTTGGAAAGTCTCTGAGCAGCAGGGTACTATCAGGTCACCTTGGTGGGCAGTGTATGTGCTCAAGCTTGCTGAGTAGCTGACTTGTTAGCCAACAGGAGCCTTTTCTAGACTGGCCTAGTTTTGTTGATGATGTTTTGCTTGTTGTTTTTTATTCCTTCCCTCCCTTCTTTTTCTAAGATAGGGTTTCATTGGGTAGTTCTGGGTGGCCAGGAACTCACAGAGATCATCAGCCTCTGCCTCATAAACTAATTAAAGGTGTACACCACCACACAAGCTAAAAAGATTCTTTAAAAGAAAAAAAAATATTGTACCCAGTGGTCAGTAGGCCAGGACATGAGAGTTGCAAGTTCAGGGCTAGCCTGAGCTACATAATGAGACCCTGCCTCAAACAGAGAAACAAAATGATTATCCTAGTATTACTTGAAAGGGTGGCAAATAGGAGCAGCAGACATTCACAAGGGAGCTAGTGTAAGCTCCAACTGTGCTGTTAAATGTTACAGTAATGACTGAGGATGACTAGGCTGGTTTATAGGAAGGATCTCTATACTGTGATATAAGCATGAAGGTGCAATTTAGTAGTCATAACAGTGTATGCTCCTCTTTGTATATTGTTTTGGTGTGTGTACTATGTAGAAAAACTGTACCTACCAGTTTGTAAATCTGTACTACCTGGAAGGGTAGAGGGAAATGAGGAAGACTTTGAAAAAAAAAAACTTTATACATTAGGAGGACACAGAAGGAGCCCAGCACCCTTACTGCCCAGTTAATATGGCATCTGTGTGTAGCTCAGTTGATAGAACACTGGCCTGGCATCCTCCAGGCTCTGGCTTTATTCCAGGCCCCAAGTAAACCAGGTATGGATCTGCACGTCTGGGATTCCAAGATTTGGGAGGTGGAGGCAGATAAGACAAGAAGTTCAAGGTTTTCCTTAGCTACACAGAGAGTTTGAGGCCATTCTGGGCCACATGAGACTCAGTAAATCAAGGCACACACCATCTACTGTTGTGCCTGCAGAAAGTCACCTGGATATAAAGCACTAAACACTGCATCTTTCTAGGCTAGTCCAGGCCAGGCCCCCTGAGAAAATTAGCATTCCAGGTGGAAAGTGCTCGCTCCCTACTTAACTAGCACTTGGACTACTGATTTGCACACTGGAAATCTAGTAGCTTTCTTTGATCCTGATCCAGGGTGGCTTCTAGTCTAGACCTGGCTCTGGGAAGGTTGTCTCCTGGTAGTTAATCTTGGTGACAGAGCGTTTTAGCAAAGCTGTCTGGTTATGGTGCAGGTCCTAGGTACAGGAACCTGAGGGAATAGGCCTGAAACCTCAGTGTCCCTCTCAGAAATAGAGTTTCAGCTCACATCCCAGGGAGGCTCATCAGACGTGCACTGACTCCTAGGATATGCCCATTCTCAGCCTGCCCCAGGTCTGCTGCCTGCTGTTTTGTTTAAGGATTAGGGAAGTGGGTCCCCCAAGTGATTCTAGGATGCATTTGGTGGTTAGAGCCATCAAGGTCTTGCTTTAGACAGGTCCTTGAACACTCAGGTTGGCTTTAGTTTTAGGTAACATGTTTGGTTTTGTTTAGATTTGGCTCATTTTGTGTGTTGTTGGTGCTGAGGATGGAATTCAGTGCCTCATGTGTACACTGAACTCTAAAAATGAGGGGTTCTAGGTGTGGACTTTATAACTGAGCCATGCTCCCACCTAACCTTGGTGTTAGACATTCTCAAAGCATCCCTTTTCCCCTGTGTGTTCAGGTGCAGCCTCCATTCTTGGTGTCCACTTGGAAGTTTTATCCCCTGTGCTTAGACTCTGAACTGGACATGGAGTATGACTCCTAGAGTGGTACTTAACCTCTGCTGTCATATTCCTCCAGGGTCAGAACCCTGGGCAGGTTAGTGTCCATTAACCAGAAACTGCTTATTTTATTTGACTATCTTGTCTAGTTTTGCAGTAGTGTATAATGGGAGACTAAGCTAGAGTCAGTTAGAGGCCTGGCTGTCCAACTCAGCCTTGATGCTAGATGAGCCCAAGGAAAAAGCCACCCAGGAGACCTTATCCCATCCCATCACCAGTCCCAGAAAGTCCAGCCAGCAATTGCAGACAGTCTGTAGACACTGTCCTCTATGTCTAGTCAGAATTTTACAGTGGAAGAATTCTGCATTCCCAGAGCCCAGTAGATAGCTGGTATGCAGTAGGTATTCAGTAATGTAGTATTTCTCAACCAGCAAGGATAGACCTTATTTATAAGCAGAATACAGGCCATCACCATTCTAGGAAAGCTTTTGCTCCCCTCTCCCCCAGGTTTCTTGATATAGTGCTGGCACATCTGAGTTTCATAGCGTGATAGACATGGCCCTTCAGAGCCTCAATGTTTTGTGGGTGCTGCAGGCAGACAGTGAGGGGGACAGAGAGGGCAGTTAGGGTTGGAGTGGTTAACTCTTCTCTCATCAACTTTACAACTCTGAGTCTCCTTTGATCCCTCTGAGCATATTTCTTCTGTAGAGTTGGGAATCTCTTTTATCAAGAGTGAATAAGATAGCATAAGCCAAGCTCCTGGAAGAGTTTTCAGTGGCTCTCAGGCAACTGGCTCCTGTCTTCACTCTCTCTATCAGGAACTTGGTCACTCTGCTCCCTGTAGATAGAAACTTGACGTAGGTTAATTTGGAGCTGGCCTTGGTCACCTGGAGCCATTTGCACTAGAGAATCATTCTATAGATGGGCAGACTGTGATGTGTAGCTACCCATGTTAAAAACCAAATGTGATGAGATGTGACTTGGAACCCATTGACCTGCTGCCAAATGGAATGACCAGCCAGTGCCTTCTGAGAGCCAGGCAGGGCTGGAACTTGGGCAGCCTTGTCACCAGACCTGTTTTTCAGCTTGACGGAGAATGCTGGCTGCATTTGTGTTTCCTGACCTGAGCAGACTTGATGTCAAGTTGCACGCTAGCTAGCACCTTGTATTTTTTTCTTTTCCATAGCTTTGCACATTAATGGGTGCAGAGAATACTTAACCATTAGCATTGGGGGCTAATTACATCATTATCTTGAATCTAGATAATAATCCTAAAGTTTTTAAAGACATTCTGTGTACATTTTTATTATGCTCCTGTAATCTCCATTTCTGTGCACACACATTAAATAGTTTTAAAAAAAATTGGTGAGCTCTATATTGTTAAGGACAGTGAAGTCAGAAAGTGTCCAAGGTTTTGCCAACGGCTCAAAGGCTTCATGATAGAGCACCATGTGTATCATTGTAGCATAAAGAGCCACTCAGTACAACTGAATCAGCATTACACTGAGACCCAACACGTGCAAGGTACAGTGTTGCCACCACCTGCTGCTGTTCCTTGTAGCTGTTGATGGTGAGAGTACGGAAGCAATTGACCTGCTAGGAAAGTTCTTCCAGCCCATGCTCTCTAGTAGGTACTGTGTCTTCCTCCAGCTAATAAATAAGAAAACTGAGTCACTTGGGAAAAAGGAGATCTGATCTGTCTTAGAGAAACACCTGGGTAGCTCACAACCACCTGTAACTCCAGCTCTAGGGTGTCAAACACCCACTTCTGACCTCTGAGCATGTAAACTCATGTGACAAACCTACACACAGATAGACACTCACACATATAATTAAAAAATAATAAAAAAAGAAAATGTTTTGAAAACAAAAAATACGGGGGAATTTTTTACTTATTGAAGTATGGTTTTGTTTGATATGTGGTAGAAGACAATCTCTTGTGTTGTTTTTCCTGTTCATTTTATTTGATACAGTGTTTCTAGTTGGCCTGGAAGTAGATGAGGCTGGCCTCCTGTTTCTGCCTCCCTAGCTCTGGGTTTGCAAGTGTGCAGCCTTTTTATGTAGGCTCTGGGGATTAAACTCAAATCCTTAGGATTGCATGGCAAGCAAGCATATTAAGTACTAAGTCATCTCCCCACCCCTCAAAGTACCAGTTTTATAAAAATGTGCTTGTTCTTCAAGTGGATCCTGTCTGTAAATTGTACTTCATGGCAGTGTGCTCTTCTTTACTCCCTTGGGAAGGTAGAGTGGGAAGAGACAGCGCCTGCATAGCTTTGAAAAGTGAGGGCACTTAGGTGGGGGCACAGAGTAGCTTTTGGACCTTTGGAGTTGCACCTTTATTAATAGAGTGAGAGACTGTTTCTAGCCTCAGATTATAAAGAAAATTCAGGCAATTTCAGTATTTCAAAGTTCTTCCTGAGTTACTCTTTAAGTGCCGTGATCCAAACCACTGATGTAGGTATGTTCAGTACTTAACCAGTGATCTTGATTTTGAGCCTAAATTGTGGTTAGGAATGTGGGAGACAACTATGAAAAAAACTAGGACACTAATTATTAAGCAGAGAGCCGGAGGCACGCTGGTTTTAAAACTGACCTGTGGCAGTTTGTGTGTCAAGGTGCAAGCTGCGGATCCTATTTGCTCTTAAATTGGCCTTACTCCTTCCCTTTGCAGTGATCTGGCCCTACGGAATTGTTTTCTCACCTCCGACTTAAATGTCAAAGTGGGCGACTATGGGATCGGATTCAGCAGATACAAGGTAAACAAAGCTCTGCCTCTGTCTCCTTAACCTGCTTAGTGTCAGTCATGGAGTTGGGTTGAAAAATGCTATTTGTGCTTGAAGAGGGGGTGAGAGCCTTAGTCTTCGTGACATGGCCTTTCTAGAGCAGGGTCTGTCCCAGGCCTTTCAGTGCTATCATTAGCTTCTGGTTTGTCTAAATCAGTGGCTTTGTGCCAAGGTTTTGTGACAGCTTTTGAAAGACTATTTAGAGATATTTGTAATTCAGTATAATCGACTCAGTTTGACTAAGTAATATAAAAATATTAAACAATACCTTAATTGTGTACTTACTTATTTCATGTGGACATGTATGTTTGTGGGCATGTGCTTGCCAAGGACATGTGCGTGGAAGTCAGTTCTGTTTCTACCCTGTGGATCCCCAGGACAGAACTCAAGTTATTAGTCTTGGCAATAAGTGCCTTTGTGTGTTGAGCCATTTCACTAGCCCTAGACAACAAAATTGATAATTAGCATGTGAGCAAAAATGGTAATTAATATTTGTAGAGCAGAGCACACATGTCATGTAGATGTTTCTCCACTATAGTCAGTAAAACTGTAGCATAGGTTTGATAAACTTGATATTTACTTTTTTTTTTTAACTGTTACAAACTAAACAAGGACATGGGCAAAGATAGTGCTGAGGCTGGAGAGAGACGGCTTAGTGGTTAAAGCACTTGCTGTTCTTGCAGCAGAGGACACAAGTTCAGTTCCCAGAACCCACATGGAGGGTCACAACAGTCTGTAGCTCCAGTTCCAGAGGATCTGACACCCTTTTCTAACTCCTTCTTGGGCTTTAGACACATACATGGTGTACATACATACATTCAGATAAAATATTCTATTCATCCACATAAAATTACATAAATTGTATCTTTAAAAAAATGAAATTTTGTTGCTGCAACACCCATGGTTTTCTAAGCAGGGACATAAAGATAATGTTCATCTGTCATTTAGTGGGTCTTGTGAAGACCCTAGGTGTAATGTTTTCAAAATATGCAAATTTAGGTTGGTTCCTATCCAAGCAGTAACTGTAGTGTCCGAAGCGCTTACTGTACACTGTGAAGTTGTTGCTAGTATTACCTTTCCAACCCTCACAGAGGTGATTGTCTTGAAGGAAGAGGGCTTTGGTGTCTGTAGCTCACCTGTCACTTTGCTGCTGGTAAGTGATGGGAGGACAACCTGTAACATCAGCTGTAGTAACTGGCACTGTCCTCAGTGCAGAAGGCCAGCCTGTGCTAAAGGTGTGCAAGCAAACGTCGTGATGTAGAGATCTGTTTACAAAGCCTTCAGACTTCAGAGGAATATCTCACATCCGTCCTTCCATCCAGAAGTCTCTTCTTTGTGCTGGCTTCCCCGCCTCCCCTGCTGTGTTTTTAGGTTGGGTGTATGCTTTTTGAGAATGTTTTGCTCTTAAGCTATCAAGGTCCCCTCACATAGAATTCCCCTGAACACTATGCTTCTTGACCATGCAGGAGGATTACATTGAAACCGATGACAAAAAAATTTTCCCCCTGAGATGGACTGCTCCAGAATTAGTGACCAGCTTTCAAGACAGACTCTTGACTGCAGATCAGACAAAATACAGTAATATCTGGTAGGTATCTGGTGTGCCATTTTCCTTGGTTTCCTCAGCAAGGGCCTGACTCCCTTCTCTTTGCATATATAAGTAATTATGTAGGATGTAGGGGGCAGAAAGGCACCTCATGTGCCATAGCAATGATGACAGCTTTGTTAGAATTACCTTGTGAATACTGCTTCTTCTGTCCATTTTCTTCTAAAAACAAGAACTGTATCTGTTTTACATTTTGTGCTTACATAGGGCCTGGGATATAGAAGGTACTTAATAATTACCAAAGCGACAAGAAAAGCTGAGAGGGGTTTGGGCCGTTTAGTAAGACTGTTTTTTTGTTTTTTGTTGGGTTTTTTGTTTGTTTGTTTGTTTTGTTTTTTGAGACAAGGTTTCTCTGTGACTTTGGAGGCTGTCCTGGAACTCGCTCTTGTAGACCAGGTTGGCCTCAAGAGATCCCCCTGCCTCTGCCTCCTAAGTGCTGGGACTAAAGGCGTGCGCTACCAACACTCGGCTGTTCTCTCCTTTTGGAAGGGTAATTGAACATTTGTTGTTGCTTCCCCTGTCTTATATCTCATAATTGGTTCTCTGCATTCCCCCCTTTCAATTCTAGAACATGTTCTCCATCCACTAATTTTCTATTTTTTAATGATTTATTTTTATTTTATGTGCATTGGTATTTTGCATATGTGTCTATGTGAGAGAGTCAAATTCCCTAGAACCGACATTACAGACAGTTATGAGCTGCCATGTGGATGCTAGGAATTGAACCCAGGTCCTCTGGAAGAGCAGCCAGTACTCTTAATTGCTGAGCCATCTCTCCAGTCTCTATCTATTTTTTATATTTTCTCTTCAGCTATGTCTATTCTATTATATCTCTCTGTTAGGTTTTACAGTTTTTTATTTAAAAAAATAAGCTGTTTTTTATAACTCTGTCAAATTACTGCAATAAGTAACTCCTATCGATTCTGGATGGAGCATTGTTTCCTGTGGCTTTCCTTCTGGTGAGAATCCATGGCAGTCTAGCCGGAGACACACTCCCCCACAGAGGACCTGGACATGCCTCTGTTGGGTACATGGGTGTCTTGCCATACAGGGAACTCCTCTAGCAGGCACTGCAGAGTGAGCTGAAATGTTCCACTCCGATAATGAGGGCTGTCCAAGGCCGACTCTGGCTACTTTGTAGGTGAGCCCCATTAGTCCCTGTTCTCTCCCTATCTGGCAGCTGGCCTTTCAGGAGCTGGCTCATACCTGCCCTGAAGGAGAACCTTCTGTGGGACATCTTACCTGGGTAGAGCCAGGGCTTTGGCCTGCTCACCTGGTCTTCTTCCGTGGAGCCTTAGGAACCATACAAAGAAGCCTAAGTGCTTGCACAGATGCCCCAGGGCTCAAAGGTGGCTTTTGTGTTCTCAGTTCTCAAAATACTAGCTTCACCTTGGAAGCTCCTGCCTTCTTACCCACCTTAGATTCTTCAAGATGTTTTTTATGCTTCACTGGCATTTTTATTGTATTTAGCAGGATGATTGACATGAAAATGGAGCCTGTGTTCCCCAAGGCAGAGTTGGCCCTGTTCCTGACTGTCAGAATAGTTGCTGGCAGCAGTGCCAGGTCCTGCCACACTGCTCATGCCAAGGCAGTTGAGGAAACCTCACGCAGAATTTAGAGTGGAGGTGGGAAAGCAGCAGGACACACCCTTTCCCAAAAGAAAAGACTTGTGGGCCCCAGGAGCTAGGGAGCCTGCGTTTCTCCTCATGTCCTCTGAAGAGTTGGGGCTGGCAGAGCCTGGGGACTTGGGTCTGAGAATGTCTCACTGAAGAGGGAAGGGAGTGTGGTGAACAGGGCTGTGGAGCCTCAGGCAGGGAGACAGGCTATGTGGGCCTGAACAGGCAGGGAGACAGGCTGTGTGGGCCTGTACAGGTGGAGGCAGTGCCGCTCATTCTGACAGCTGCCAAGCAAACTTTGGTTTTTAGCATTTCACATGGATTCCTTATTTCTCCAAAAAAATTGGCAACTCCAAGGTCAATGGCCAGTGTCTTAAGCATTTTTCTACTTAAAGTGGTCATCCACCCCTGAGGGTTCTCTGCCAGGGAGAAGACACTGCCTTCTGGACTGGTGTGAGGGTTTTTCCTCCTCCTCTTCACTTTAGAAGTGACCTCTGTGGACAAGAAATACGCTGGCTCTGCTCAGTTACTTGTAAAGTAGCATCAGGAAATTGAGCACCAGGCTACACAACAGCAAATAAAGCCACTCTGTGCTATTGCTACTCACAGGCTCCTAGTGGGCATTGAACTGTCTCATAACCACACACCTGAATCTGGAGGAAGACAGAATCACAAATCGCAGGGAGCTTTTGAAAAACTCTGGTTTCCCAGGCCAAACCTGATTCTGTCACTGAATGCTAGATATGGGTCATTTGTGGTCGCACACACCCTTAATTCAAGCACTGGAAAGCAGAGACCAGCAGTGTTTTTACATTCATGGCCAGCTTAGTTTACATAGTAAGTTCAAGGCCAACCTGGGCTACATAGTGAGACCCTGACTTTAAAACAAAACAAAGGGGATACAGATCCTAAGTACCAACTTACTTGTTTAAAATTCTCCCTGAAGAATCTAAAAAGATGGCTCAGTGGTTAAGAGCTGCTCTTGCAGAGGACCTGAGTTGGATTCCCAGAACCAGCATGGCAGCTCACATCCCATCTGTAACTCTAGCTCCAAGGGATCTGATACCCCCTTCTGGTCTCCGTGGCGCTAGGGATGCAAATGGTGCAGACACACATGCAGGCAAAATACCCATATACATAAAATAATAAAATGTTTAAAAATTTAAACTTCCCAGATGACATGCATGACTCCCTGAGAACATCCCAGTAGATTCCCATATGACAGTGAATAGTGGAAAGAAATGAGAGTGTGTGAAGGAAGGAAACATACTTCCTTTGAGCTAAGCAGGTGAGGTCTTTCCAGGGGGGACAGAGCTCTAGGGTGCAAGGACAAGTTGCGGGGGAGGATGGGTATTTCATCATGAATGTATAATCTCAGCACCTGGCTGATTGAGGCAGGAGGACCACTGTGAATTAAAAACCTGTCTACACAGGTGAGTTCCATTCAGCATAGTCTACACAGTGAGAACTTGTAGAGCTAGTTAAATAGACTCTGAGATAGGGTGTCCCACTGCAGTGATACCATCCTGTGGCCTCTTCTGGCACCAGACAGCTGCCACAAGCTAGGATGCTGAGGAGTAACCAAAATAACAGAGATTTTGCTCATGTAAAAGTTTCCTGGAATTATTTTATAGTGTTTATCATTATTCAGTGGGATTCCCCACCTCAGAATTCAGAGTATTTATATTGCTAAGCCATTTTGCCAAGATTTAGCATTCTATTATTCTTTCAACTAATTCCTTTTAAGTTGTTTTTTGGTGGGGATCTTTTTGTTGTGGGTTTTTGTTTTTTGCTTTTTGAGACAGGTTTTCTCTGTGTAACAGCCATGGCTGTCCTGCAACTCACTCTGTAGAATGCCTGTCTCTGCCTCCGGAGTGTTGGGATTAAAGGTGTGGGCCACCACCGCCTGGCCCCTTGAAGTTTTAAAGTCACAAGGGGTCATTTGTTTAATTCCTGTGATTATATTATTATGCTCAGTTATAGTGATGAAGTAAATATGAGAAGGCTTTCTGGTCACCTTCATTTCAAGAGAAGTAGCTCTTGTTTTTTGCCATTGGGATATTATTTAAGAACTGTTTTATACTGATCTTACTAATAAATAACCACTTCCATGCATATCTTGTCCATACAGTTGCTGATGCTAGAAATAAAAATGAGGTTGTTAGCGACTTCAGCATGACTCTCTTGCTTTCCACAGGTCATTGGGTGTGACCCTTTGGGAACTCTTCAGTAATGCTGCTCAGCCTTATGTAAACCTTTCCGACCTGGATGTTCTCAATCAAGTCATTAGAGAGAGGGACATGAAACTCCCAAAGCCCCAGCTGGAGCAGCCCTATTCTGATAGATGGTTGGTAGCTTCCTTCTGCTTTGTAATCTACAAAAACAAGTGTGGGGACTAGGGACAGGGCTCAGTCAGGGCAGTGCCTGCCACTCGAGCAGGAAATCTGAGTTCACACCCCCAGCAATTGTCTAAAAAGCTGAGTGTGGTAGTGTGTACCTGCCTTCCCATACTGAGGTGATGGAGACAGGACAATCCATGGGGCTTGATGGCCTCATTAAGTCAACCTAGCTGAATCAGTGAAGTCCAGGTTCAGTGAGAGACCCCGTCTCAAGGGATGGAGACTAATTGAGGATGGCTTCTGAAGTAGAGGAAGACCCAGTATAGACCTGGCCTCCATGTACACCATTCAGACTGCATGTGCGCATGCACACATGTTCATCCATATGCCCCTTAGTTTTAGACAATAGATAAATATCATTCTAATAAAGTATGTGCCTGTATGAAAACGTCATAGTGAAGCCCATTATTGTTCATAATTAATATATGCTAATGAAAACTAAGCATATCCAAACTAGAGCACTAATCAGGTTTGGTTTTTTTGTGTTGTTTGTTTTAAGTTTTTTAGTTTTTTTGAGACAGGGTTTCTCTGTGACTTTAGAGGCTGTCCTGGAACTTGCTCTGTAGACCAGGCTGGCCTTGAACTCACAGAGACCCTCCTGCCTCTGCCTCCCGAGTGCTGGGACTAAAGGCGTGAGCCACCACCACCCGGCTACTAATCAGGTTTTTAAAAAACTTTTTTTTTGCATGTTCTTAGAATGCTATCAAAATATTAACAATAAAAATTTAGAATAGCAACCAAAAAAATTTATGGGAAAGTTATGACAAGAACATAAGAACATGTGATTTGGCAGACAGCTTGTAGCTGGATACGGTGAAATGTCCTGAAAGTAAACCAAAAAAGAATGAGTGCATCACATGTTCTTTCCTTTCCTCTGGTGTGGTAATCACACTCTGAGCTAATCCCTTAACATGGCTGGCCGTGGTTAGGATCTTGCTGGGGAAGGGTATGTTGAATTGGCTCTGAAGTAAGGTTATTTCTTGCTTCTGTGCATTAATTGTCCCATGTGTGGCTCGCAGGTATGAAGTGTTACAGTTCTGCTGGCTGGCTCCTGACAGGAGGCCAGCTGCAGAAGATGTGCACCGACTGCTCACTTACCTGCGGATGCAGAGCCAGCGGGACTCAGAGGTGGACTTTGAACAGCAGTGGACCGCTCTCAAGCCAAACACCAGCAGCAGGGACACATCAAGTAGTGCTGCATTCCCCATCCTTGACCACTTTGCCCGGGACCGGCTAGGTCGGGAGATGGAGGAGGTCCTCACAGTGACTGAGACCAGCCAGGGACTGAGCTTTGAGTATGTGTGGGAAGCTGCCAAGCATGACCACTTTGATGAGCGAGGCCAGGGCCACCCAGATGAAGCCTTGTCTTACTCTAGCATGTTCTTCCCCGTTGAAGTGTTTGAGAGTTCACTTTCAGATCCTGGCCCTGGGAAACAAGATGACAGTGGCCAAGAGGTACCCCCGAGGGCCCCTGGGGTGGTTCCTGTGTTTGACGCCCACAACCTCTCTGTTGGAAGTGACTATTACATCCAGTTGGAAGAGAAAAGCCGTAGTAATTTAGGGCTGGATTATCCACCTGCTCTGCTCACAACTGAAGTGGATAATCCAGAAAGGGTTGGAGCTGAGGCACCCCAGCCTACAGCCCTCAAGAACCTCTTGTCTGAGGAGCCCAATTCAGGTGACAGTTTCTTCCAGAGCAGTGCTCACCCCAAAGAACCCAGCTCTTCTGAGGGCTCACATGCTGCCAGCATCCCTGGGAGCCCTTTCAACATATTCAGTGACCTTGACAAAGCAGATGACCTGTCCAGTCACCAGAAAATATTTGACCTAATGGAACTAAATGGAGTTCAAGCTGACTTTAAACCAGCCGCCTTGAGTTCAAGCCTGGATGACCCCAAAGACACCTGCCACTCCAACAAAGAAAAGTCACATAAGCTTTTCGACCAGAGCCCTGTGTGTTTAACAGAAAGTCTTTTGCACCAAGATCACTTTGATCCACTGAGTGTTCAAGAATTGTCAGAAAACTTTTTATTTCTTCAGGAGAAAAACCTACTGAAAGGCTCGCTGCCCAGCAAGGAGCCAGTGAATGATCTTCAAACAGAACTTAAGAATGCAGGTTTTACCTCAGCACTGTTAGATTCACCCCAGAGAGGCTCTCAGGGTTCTGAAGTTGCGTTTCCTGAGAATACACTAGACCTTCCTCTGTCACAGGAAAACCTGAGTGGAGAGAATGAAGGTACAGGGGTCACACTTCAGGGTAGTACACCACCACAGGCCTCCCCAGAAGTGCAGATACCTCTGGCCTCACTCACAGAGGAAGCATCTCCTAATGTCCCCTTAGATACAGTTCTGAGACCAGGAGAGACCAAATCCTTTGTAGATGTCAGAGTCCCTGAGGACTCCATTTGCCTGGATCTAAGTTCCAACCCCATGACTGCCCCAAATGAAATTCCTTCTACTGATGCCAAGACTCATGATGAGGACACTAGACCCCCTGACATGACTTGCCAAAGCAAGGAGGCCTTGAACATAACCAAAAGAGATTCCATCCTTGTGAATGATGGTCTTGCTGGTCAGGGTAGCATGGGGACTAGTCTTCCAGAATCTAGACAGGATTTACAAAACCAGCCATTTTCAGAAGACCTCCTTAGTGGCAGCATACTGGAGAGAAGCTCGGTAGCCGTGGAGACAGCAAGTCAGCTTAATTACAAGGCTGCCCCCAAAGATGCTGCCTCTGCCCTTTCCTCGGACTCCACCAGCCAAGACAGCCTCTTAGAAGACAGTTTGTCAACACCCATCCCCACCTCAGAGCAGTCTGTGGAGACACCAGACTCCCTGGATTCAGTAGATGTCCATGAAGCATTACTAGAGTCCCTTAGCTCTCATACCCCTCAGAAACTCTTGCCCCCTGATAAGCCCGCAGACAGTGGTTATGAAACAGAGAACCTGGAGTCTCCTGAGTGGACCCTGCATCCTGCACCTGAGGGTGCTACTGATTCAGACACGATTGCAGCAGGTGACAGTGGCCAAAACAGTTTGCCTCCCAACCCGGTCATTGTCATCTCAGATGCAGGCGATGGCCACAGGGGTGCTGAAGGTCCCTCTCAGGGCTTTACACTTGGCACCCAGAGTTCGTATCGAGACTCTGCATACTTTTCAGACAATGACTCAGAGCCAGATAAAAAGCCTGAGGAGGTCCCAGCATCATCTGCCTCTGCCTTGGCCTTGGTAAAAGACCAGTCCCCACCTGAGCCTGCTGTCCCAGAGGAAAACTCTGACATCGGAGACAGCTGTATGGAAGCCCCACAGAGCAAGCCAGATCAAAACGAGGTGCCTGCTGTACAGAATTCTTGTCACTCAGAGTTACAAGAAATGTTGCAGCCCACACCAGCTGATGATTCCAGAGAGACATTTCCTGTGGATGATGAGGCCAGCAGCGCCTTGAGTTTGTTGAATTCAGAACTTAGCAGCTGTGATGACTTGGAGACACAGGAAGATCGCCCGTGCACCCTGGCCTCTACCGGCACCAACACCAATGAACTCCTTGCATACACAAGTTCCACACTGGATAAATCCGTGTCCAGTCCCTTCGAGGGCCCCAAACTTAAGGAGCCAGACATTGAAGGGAAATACCTGGGCAAACTCTGCGTGTCTGGGATGCTGGACCTCTCGGAGGATGGGATGGATGCTGATGAGGAAGATGAGAACAGTGATGACTCAGACGAGGACCTGCGGGCCTTCAACTTACACAGCCTTAGTTCCGAGTCAGAAGACGACACAGAGCACCCCGTGCCCATTATTGTCAGTAATGATGATGGCCTACACTTGCGGAGTTTGCTGAAACCCTCAGCCACTGAGGCTCCTGAGCAGCTGCCAGATGACTGGAAGAAGGAAAAGAAGGCAGTGACATTTTTTGATGATGTCACTGTTTACCTGTTTGACCAGGTATCTCAGACTTCTGTTTATATTGTAGAGAATTTCAAGAAGGTGTGAAGCTAAATGTGGTCTGATTTGGTTTTGTTTTTAAAAGTTCAGAATTTTATTTCCTTTTATTTGTGTAGTGTTTGGGTAGATGTGTTTGCGTGTGTGTAGGTGCACATATGCGTCTGTGTGGGGGGCAGAGGTTGGTGCCATTGTCTTCCTTGTCCATTTCCCACATTATAGAGAGCAGGTGCTCTGACTTAAACTCGGAACTCACTGATGCAGCTCATCTCAGTCACCTTGCTCTGGGGATCCCATCTCTACTTTTCGTGCCCTGGGATGACAGGCATGTCCTTAGCAGTACATGGGTGCTAGTGACTTGCACTCCGGTCCACAAGACACCCATCCTTTTGGTCTCATTGTTCTTTGTGCCAACTTGCCCTCACTAATCAAACCATCCACATCATCAGTTCCCCTGTGCAGCAGTGTTCGTGTCCTTAATAGAAGTCTGTGCTCTCATGTCACAGTGCTGAGATTTTAAGCCTTAGAAATAACTTTTCCTAATGGCTGCCACCCGGGATGACTGGGCTCCAGGTTGTCACACTTGAGGCAGGCAGTGAAAGCAAAGCATACCATGAGCTCAGGACTAGCACACTAAGCTTCCCAGGAGGGCAGCATGCATGTCATTATAGCTGTGACTTTTTTGTTTTACTGTTTGCTGTATAGCCCTGACTGTTCTGGAACTCACTGTAGATCAGGCTGGTCTCAAACTCGGAAATCCACTTTCCTCTGCCTCCTGAGTACTGAGACTAAAGGTGTGCACCACTATGCCCAGCTTGTGGTCTTGCCTTTTAATTGCCGTTGAGGCAGCAGACAGTGACAATGTGGGAGTCATTTGAGACTGGTGATGTTCCAAGAATCGACAGAAATTAATTTTGCACAGGGCATTTGCATTCAGTTAAGGGAGAGAACCCTGGGCATTCTTCCTGGATCTCCTAATGGAGTTCTGCTGAAATTAGTTGACCAAATTTTAGAATCTGGCAATTGGCAGTAATACCCCACACTTGGGTACAGGCCTAGAACAGTTGCTGGCAGGGAACTTCATAGATGGTGGCCAGTAGCAGCCCCTGGAGGGTGAGTCTGGAGAGTATGATATGCAGGCAGCAGACGGTCCTTCTGCTTTGATCCTTGGTGGCTTAGTATGTGCTCTGCTTGGTGGGTAGACAGGCTTATAACTGGAATTTTTCTCTCTCTCTCCTTCCCTCTCCTTCCCCTCCCACCTCTTGTGTGCATGTGTTTGTATGTAACTGCTCACAAGTGGAGGTCATAGATCAGTGCCATATGTCTTCCTCAATTGCTGCCCATCTTATTTTTTTGAGACTGGGTATCTAATTGAATCTGGATCTCCCTGTTTGAATAACCCAGCTTTAAATTAAAAACAAAAATCTCTGTTGTACCACTTGCATGCCTGGTTCCCAAAGATGTCAGAAGTGGGATTCCCTAGAACTGAAGTTACAGGTGGTTGTGAGCTACCATGTGGGTGCTGGGAACAAACTCAGGTCCACTGGAAGAGCAGCCAGTGCTCTGAACTGCTGAGCCATCTCTTCAGCCCCAGACACCTAGCTTTTTATATGGGTTTTGGGGATTGAACTTGGGTCCTCAGGCTTTCATGGCAAGCAGTTTACCAACGTAGTCCCTTCCTTCCTCCATGTTCTTTATTTACTGATCGTCTTTGTGATCTTTGAGTTACTAGTTTATGTGGATGTTAATGGATCCCAGGGCCTTTGAAGTCTCTGTATCTCAGGCTGTCCTTGAACTGATGGGTCTTCTGCCTTGGTCTCCTGAGTTCTGGGGTTGTAGATGTTAACCATCACATGTAAACCCTGAATTTGCTTTTTGAATCGGATTATAATTAATCTTTGAGGTCATGAGGCCTGAGAATGGTTCTCACTGTGTGCCAGAAAGTGCAGGGACCTTGGTGTCTCTGATACTGCTTGCCCAGTTTTTGCTTAGTTCTCAGAGCTAAGCCCTTGACTTCATCTTGGCCTCTGGGAAGAGCTTCTCAGGGTTCCACAGTAGAGGCTTCCAGGCACTATTCCCCGTTGTCACTAAGACCCTGGTCACCTTCCTTCTTACCAAGCTTCTTAGGGCTGGGGCTGCAGCTCAGCCATAGAGTGTGTGCCTGGCTTGCTGAGCCCTACATGGTCCACAACAGATAAAAGTAAGCAAACAAAACCCGCCCATTTCCTGCTGCCTCATGTGGGATTGGGTGGTGGTGGAAAGAAGACACAGACCTGGCTTAGCCTGACTCACGGGCAGACCAGGGGGCTGCCTCCCTTCTCCTGCTGTTCTCCCCAAGCCGCCCTCCAGAACTGTCCAGCCATGATGGCTCCTAGAGCCAGAATGAGAGCCTGCCTCTTTTGATTGTAGAGTTGATTAGGGTTTTGGGCCCTCTTGTTGCTTTATTTAGCTTTGCTGTTTGGTGCTATCTTTGGCTGTGATTTCAGGACCATGGCTAGACTGATGAGTAGGGAAGAGCCTTCTTCCTCAGGGAGCTTCTGGAAACACTGTAAGATTTGTTAATCTCTCCAAAGAATGGCTTTTGGTTTCATGATGGATGGGTTGTTTTCATTTTTGTTTTTCTTTATTATTTTTCCCTTTTCAGTGTCAATTGGTTCCTGCTTCATCTTTAATATTTCCTTCTACACACTTGGGTTTGCTTTTCATTTTCCAGTTTTTTGTTAGTTCGTTTGTTTTTTTTTTAATGAGTATGGGTGTTTTACCTGCATATATGTCTGGGCACCACATGCACGCAGTGCCTACAGAGGCCAGAAGAGGGCATTAGATCCCCTGGAACTGTAGTTACAGATGGTTGTGAACCACTGTGTGGGTGCTAGGAATCAATCCAGGTCCTCTGGAAGAGCAACCTGTGTTCTTAACTGCTGAACCCCTTTTTCTAGATTTGTAAAGTAAAAACTTTGGAACTTAAGACTTCTTTTTTTCTATTAAGCTTTCGTGGCATAATTTCCTTCTTGGTGCTCTAGTTGCTTTCCACAGATTTGAAATATGTCCTTTTGTTTTCATCCAGCTCAAATGGTTTTCTCATTTTCCTTAAGACTTCCTCTCTGACTCACCAAAGACTTAGATGTATGTTATGTGGTTTTCAAGACTTGAAGATCTCCTTTTTATAATTGTTACTGCATTTATTTTATACATTTATTACATGTGTGAGGCCTTGCCACCATGACCAAAAGAAGAAAGAAAAAATAGTGCAATGTGTTTTGCTTTCAGTCATCAAACATTTTAAGAAATTCACAAGCATGAGCTAGAGGTGAAACTTAATTGGTAGACTATTTACCTAGCATATGTAAATACCAGCACCCCATAAAATGAGCATGGTAGTACACAAGCTGTAAGCCCAGCACTCAGGATTAGAAGCTCCAAGTTGTCCTTGGCTACATAGATAGTTGGAGGCCAGCCTGGGTTCCATGAGACCCTGCCTTAGCGCATGCTCATGTGCACGCTCACATGCCCACACACGGTGGGGTGCACTCAGAGGCTAGCAAGATAGCTCAGTTGTAAAAAGTGCTTGCTCCCGAGCCCAGCAATCCAAGGTCAGTGTCTAGGACCTACATAGATGAGAGAACTGACTTCCACAAATTGTCCTCTGACCCCCACATGTATGCCATTACATATCGCATACCCTCCAGAGAGTAAATAAATAAGTATACAAAAGCAATATGATAATTTTTGTACAAAGAAAGAAAACAACTCAAGGCAAATGGTTTTATATTCAACCTATGGTCCTGTCTGCTTTTGTTCTGTCTTCAGCGCTTCATACTTACTCCTGGAAGATCCTTTCTCTGAGCATAGATTCTGAGTTGACAGCTCTTTCCCCTCAGCATTCAGTTCCCTGTTTAAACTCTCTTCACATAATCCCAGTGCTCATGACCTTTGGCTCCTGTGTGGACCTCTGTACAGTGAGGTTGTCCTGGCTACTTGAAGGCTGGGTCACTGTAGATTTTGTGTGTTCCCATCATGCTATGGGGCATCTGTCTTCAGGGTGGTGCAGAGTGTTGCCATGTTTGTCTTAGGCCACAAGCTCCAGCCAACCTCCTGTGAGCTTCGGTATCAGTACTAGTTCCTCTTTCCAGTCTGTGGCTCCGATGTACCTTCTGGCCAGGCTGGAGCTTGGTGGCACCCCTGCATCCCCACAGTCCAGTTTTCACAGCTTTGGTATGTTGTTTGGGGTCAGCTCCTCAACACTTGTTGCTTTTTTTTTTGTTTTTTTTTTTTTTTTGTTTTTGTTTTTTTTTTTTTTTTACGAGACAGGGTTTCTCAGTATTGTGTTGGAGGCTGTCATCCAGCCCGGCCTCGAACTCACAGAAATCCACCTGTCTCTGCCTCTCAAGTGCTGGGATTAAAGGCATGCGCCACCACCGCCCGGCTCACTTTGTTGCTTTTTTGAATGCCCCTTGGTGATATCCCTGTAAACCCAGTCCTGTACACCTTCTTGGTCCTCCAAGCAGGAAGATGGTGCCCAAGTCTGCCACACAAGGAAGGAAATCATAAAACATCAGGGGTCCTCTTCAGAACCAGCCATCAGACTACATGGAGATGGGGTGACAGGAACAGAACAGGGACAAGGAGAGAAAAGAACCTTGGGATTGTCTTGCTCTGAGGATTAGAAGATCCCTTCCTTTCCTAGAACCCGCAACCCTGTCCAGGCCAGGGCATTCCAAAGGCATTCTGTCTGCCACACAGTGCCAGTTTGGTGCCACTTTGGAGTCTGGGCCGCTTTCCTCCTGCTTGTTCTTTTCTTTTTAGAGGTTTCACATGACCTGTACAGATGCTAGAGCTGCATTCAAGGGACCGTATATGGCAGGACTTTGCCATACATAGTGGTACAGGCCTGTAATCCCATGATTCAGGAGACTGAAGGGATCAAAAGACTAATGCCAGCGTGAGCTAGATAGCAAGTTTGAGACCTCTCTGGGTTACAGACGCAGATTGTCTTTAAAAATGAAGAGGCTAAGTGGTGGCAGCAACACATTTAATCCCAGCACTCAGGAGGCAGAGGCAGGCGGATCTCTGTGACTTCTGGCCAGCCTGGTCTACAGAGTGAGTTCCAGGACAGCCAGGGCTACATAGAGAAACCTTATTTCAGGGGTGGGGGGTGCGGGGAAAGAAAGAAAAGAGAGAAAGGGAGGAAGGAAAGAAAAGAAAGGGGGCTGGAAAGAACTGGTTTTGGTGATGCAACCTTTAGTCCCAGCCATCTAGAAACTGAGAGGCAGGTAGATGTCTAGAGTGTGAGGCCAGCCTGGTCTACATAATGAGGTTGTGTCATAAGGGTGGTGGGGTGGGGCCTGGAAAGCTGACTCCTAGGTTAAGAACAGGGCTGCCTTTGCATAGGACCTGGGTTCCCAGCACCCATTTGGCAATTCATAGTCATCTGTAACTCCAAATCCTGACGGCCTGATGCTTTCTTCCTCACATAAAGTAAATAACTCTTTAGTTCACCTCATCCGATGAGCCTGTCAGCCTGGGTGGGGACAGATATTTGGGCTCTAAAAACTAGAATATTTGTTTGGCTTTCCAGGAAACTCCCACCAAAGAGCTGGGGCACTGCGGAGGAGAAGCACATGGTCCTGGGCCCAGCAGCCCAGCAGCATCCTCGGGCTCACCCTACCTGGGCAGGTGCATGAATTCGGAGAGCTCCACAGATGAAGAAGGTATTTGATTGTGCCGTGCAGATCAGTTGCAAAGGCAGTGAAAAGGAACATTATTTGGGGGGTGGGGTTTGTTTTGTTTTGTTTGCTTGTCTTTATGACAAGAGTCTCACTCTGTAGACCAGGCTGGCCTAGAATGCAATAGAGGTCCCCCATCTTTGCCTCCCAAGTGCCACCACGCCTGGCTAATGCTAACATTGTTGGAAAGGAACATCGTTTGTTTTTAAATGACCCCTGAAGAAACACACTTCCCCTGTGTTTCTGCCCTGCCATCTGTTGACGGCTTGTGTCGGAATGCCCTGGGCTCCCTCTCCTTATCATGAGTTGATTGCGTAAAGTGATAACAGGGTGATGTTCTTACTGCAGGTGGAGGCTTTGAATGGGATGACGACTTCTCCCCAGATCCTTTCATGTCAAAAACAAGCCTTCTGGGCTCCAAGCCTTCTCTTCAAAGCTCCAAATACTTTTCTCCCCCACCACCGACCAGGAGTGCAGAGCAGAGCTGGCCACATGTGTCTCCCTGCTCCAGGTTCTCCATCTCTCCTGCCAACATTGCCAGCTTCTCTCTCACACACCTCACGGACTCGGACATTGAACAAGGAGGTGAGAGGGGCCCTGTGCGTGCTGGGGGTGGGGCCATGGCAGAGGCATGGTGGCTTTCATCCAGGAGTGCTCACCTATCCTAGACCCAAAGGAGTGGTGATGTGATGCTATTTTAGTCTTTCCTGAGTAGATTACAAATTTGCTTGAAAATTCTCAGTTTGTGCTAGGGGTGGTTCCTTGGGTATACTTAGCACATTTTTCTACCGTTGAGGTATATCCCCTCACTGGGGAATTCTAGGCAGATGATCTACCCCTGAGCCACACCTTAGCCCCTCACTGGGGAATTCTAGGCAGATGATGATCTACCCCTGAGCCACACCCCAGTCCCTCAATGCTTTACCACTAATCTTCATCCCCAGATCACTTCTTACTCTTTGTTTTGTTTTTGAGACAGAATCTCACCAAGTTGCTCTGCTAGACTTGTATCTAGTTTGGCCTTGAACTTTCGATCTTTCTGCCTCATATACCCATGTAGGTGAAAGAACAGGCCTAGAGTATCACTCACAGGCTTGACAGTGCATATACAACCACATTTCTCCCGTTTAGAATCGCTCCCAATGCTTATTTCTGTATAACCCTGCTGGCCTGACCCTGGAGATCTTGGAGGTCCTAGAGAGGGTTCTGTTTTCTTTCCCCTTCTTGCCAGTCCTGCTTCCCTGGGTCACGCTTCTCTCCCAGAGGAGCGCCCTGCACAGGCACCTGCTCAAGGCACACTTGACCTGTGGTTTGGGTTGGAGCCCAGGCTCTCTGTCTCTACCCTGGCAGTGTTGATTTTGCCATTAAGTTTTGGTCTCCATGCGATACCAGAGGGCCAGCTGGGAGCTCACAGCAGGGGCCAATTTGAAGTAGCAATACCTGAACATATGGGCCCCTTTCCCTATACCAAGATTGGAAGATAAATGTTAATAGGTACGTTTTTTATTTGAAGTTTACAGATCAAATAATAAATGTAGGATATAAAGTGCTTTTATTTGTTTACATAGTTTTCACTTGTGCCGATGAGATAGTGCCTGTGCCTAAGGATCTCTGGGGGGCAGGTGTGCGGGTCAGACTGGTTTACTTCAGTGCCCCTGAGTGTGGCCATGGAGCCACTGTGGGAGCCAAGCAGCTGTGTGTGCAGAAGTCTGCAGTCTGTGGGATGGAGAGACAGACAGGGCAGCACAGGAAGGCGCGAAGCAGCCAGGCACCAGCTGCAGTCCCTTTTCCTGCTGTTCTGGTCTGGCTACCTCTGTGCTGTTAGTATCTGGGTATTCAGTTCTTAAAACTGACCCTCTTTGTCATGTCGCTTCTGTCTGGGAAATAGGCAGCAGTGAGGATGGAGAGAAGGATTAGGCGGCTGTGGACACTCTCCCTGCCCAAGCAGTGTTCCTGCACATCCATCTGAGCAACGACATCGACTCCTTGGTGACTGGCACCAGACAGAGAAAGGCTCAGGAGTGACGGGGAGCCGGGCCACCGGGCCAGGAAGCCAGCACCCTCTGCAGCCCTCGCCGGCATTCTCACGCACTAGAAGCGCTCTGTGCTAGGCATCCTGTTAAGGTGGCCTCACTGCCACACATCTTTGGCGCATGAATGTTGGGGGACCTGTGCACCCCAGGTCATGGGTCTGCTTTCTGTGTGGGTGTCTTCCCCACCACACCTGTGCCTCTAGTTTGGGCACAGGTGCCACAAAGGGGTTTACCAGGGGAATGGGCACAAGCCAGCCATATTTATTGTTTGTAAGGAAATCACTAATTGCTCTCTGACTGCACTGTGGGTGAGTGTTTGAGCTCCCAATATTGTACAGCATCATAAATTATACAAGGAAAACATGGCAGGCCAAGATGGTGCTGTCCACTGGTTTGATCTCTCCCCCCACCCCTGTCTTCTCCCATGTTTGCCCTGCATGGTACTGTAAAGCTTCGATATTTTGAGTGTTGTGTCTTGAGACCTGTGGGAACTGTACACAGGTACTCTTTTCCAGGCCATGCTGACTTTGGTGTTTGTGTTCTATGTTTCTAGAGAAAATATTTTTGATGAGTTCAAACTGCTGCTTTGTTTTATTGACTGCATCAAGCATGTTTCTGTATAAGGTGGATGCTCTCTGAGCAGCCCACCCTGCCTCTTGTGTTTTTAAATCCTCTTGGTAGAAATCCAATAAGAGATGCACCCAGAACTCAGGGCCCAGGGCCATTTTCTGGTGTGGCAGGTGAGGCCCACACCACTTCCTCTCCACAGAGGCCAGTCTGCAAGAGATGTCATATGTCTGAGGCCCTGAGGCCCTACAAAGAACTGTGGGTGCAAAGAGCAGTGTGTCCACTGCGGGTGCTGCTGAGAGCTGTTTCAAATGTCTGGGATTGGGGCTTCTCATTCCAGGCCACAGCACCCAGGTGACAGGCAGCATCCTGGACCTGCCTGTAACTGCAAAGAGGAGGACAGGGACCTCGGCATGGCCTCCTGGCTGGCCTGGGAAACCCACGCATGCTGCCCCTTCTGTATCAAGCACCCAGCTCTCCTCATATTCTGAAAGGGATCTCGAGTCTTCAGCATAGCCTCAGTACATCACCGAAAGAATCTGGTGTCCCCAGCACAAGGCTGGACTTGCTCTGCTGCCAGGAGTCCTGCTTTAACATAAGGAAGAGTCTGTGGCTAGTGCCATGGCAAGGCCATGTTGAGCAGGAACTGCACCTGTTGGGGTGGCTCTTCTTACATGGGCTGCTCATCCCAAATACTTCTGGTGCTGACCCCACTATACAGACTACAGTGAAACATTGGGGTGAGTCTCCAGGCCCTGGCGGGACATCGTGATGTCAATCAGAGGGACTTGGACCCTCCTCCTACAGAGTTCAAGTGTGGATGTCAGCTTGAGTTTACGTAGCAAATTATGATCTTTATTATCAACTCTGATTCAATCCATGAATTTTTATACTAAGCAATATCGTTATGATCAGCAGAGGACAGTTGAGAGCAGAGAGTCTCGTTTCCCCATATTTGGTGCAGACCTAGTACGACTGGGATCTGTAGAAAGCACTGGATCTTGTGACGTGTAGATTACAAACAGGGCATTTGAAAGTAATTTTGCCAAAATTGTCATAACTGAATTTTTTGCTATGTGGACTTTCTGATTTTTTTTTAATTCTTACCTCTATCTACCAGTCTTAGTTGAGAAAGAGAGAAGCAATTATAATAAGATTTTTTTCAAATTATAGATGTAATAAGTTCAGATTCACTGATTGCAATCATGTGGATCTATAGACTATATATAGCCTTCTTACGAAGTCAACCTGGGATAGATTTATTGATGTCTGAGGGCTGGCCATCTTCCACCATGTTGAAAGGATTTTAATAATACAGTTCCCATTTATATTTATATCTATATCGCTCTCATCGTTAATTGCCAAAACAGCAACATTTTATATATTCAGTTGGGAGTTGGGGTGGGGGTGGGGATGGGGTTGGTCTTTCTGTGGCATCGCATGGAAGGGAAGGCTTTTTATAAAACACTTGTCAACACACCCTCCCAGAGTCTCAAGCAATATACAGAAATCTCCATAGATTAAACTTCTGCCATTTTTGAAATGTGAGCATGTGCTTTGCCATCTGATATGGGTTTTGTTTTTGGTTTTGTTTTGTTTTGTTTTTGTGTTTGACTTTCTCAAGACAGGGTTTCTCTGTGTAGCCCTGGCTGCCCTAAAACTCACTCTGTAGACCAGGCTGGTCTCTAACTCACAGAGATCCGCCTGCCTCTGCCTCCCGAGTGCTGCCACCACACCCAGCTGGTTTTGTTGTTTTTAATGATAATTTGGTTGCTGTTGGTGGGCTTTCCAAACTTGCCCTGTAGTTGGCATGGGGTGGGCTCAGTAATTCTTTTCCTGCCCTCCCTTGAGTGCCCATCCTCACCTACCAAACTGGAACCTAATAAAAATAATGAGCCCTCCATGTCCCTCTTTGATAACCTCCATTTGTTATACGTTTACCAGTCGTAAGTCAGAAAGGAAAAAGTAGTTTCCTTCCTGTGAGACCCGACTCTGTCTGGGCCAGAAGTCAGTCATCGAAAGACTGAAGTTGTGAACAGCCTCCCTTCTATCTCCAAATGTACAGGTTTTTAGAAAGATGGGTTTATCCAAGGAAGTCTGTCACCCTGCTGTGAAATACCCTTTGAACCCCCTCCCCCATATTTCTCATAGGGTATCTGTAGAATTAGTGACATATTGCACGTTTGTCCCCAAGGCTGGGGAAGAAAGCAGGCAGCTCCTCACCTCCCCCTCAGCCCATCACCTGGAAACTCAGGTGCAACCAAGTGTCAGGTTCTGTGTGCCACGCTTCAGAGCACCCACCTCGAGGGAAGTCACCTTCCCGTAAGAATGGGTAGACACAGTCACTTCCAACATACATCCCACTATCCCCTAAGTAGCAGACAGGGTGGTGCAATCTTGGCTGTTAGGAAACTCCGTTTAACTTATAAATAAGTTTGTAAGAAGCGCTGACAGTATTGTGTCACCCACAACCATCCCAGTGGTTGAACATGTGGTGTTTGGTTGCTAAAGCCTACACAGCGAGCCTGGGTCTTGATGACCAGACTTGTGCATGTATCCACGGTTTCATTGCGTCCACAACCAGAGACCTGGGTGGGGCAGTCACACCCACCAGGCCTGCCATCTATTGGGTTGTACTTAACACAGTCAGAAGGGGTTCATGGCAATATAACAGTTAACGAACTTGGAGTTTAAATTGTGTACATTTTTAAATTGTAAGATTTTTACTGTATATTGAAGCTTAGTGTGATTCAATAAATTGCTTGTAATTTAAAACTATTTAATATTCAAAATAAATATAGTTATATATTTATAAACTCCGTTGCTACATTTATTCCTTGTTTTTTCCATTAGTGGGGTTGGCCTGATGCTTTGGTTCTCTAAGCCCCCACAGTCCTGAGGGCATGAGGAGTGAGGGAGGTGACAGCTTCCACATTGCCCATAGGTAGTGACACCCACACCTTCCAAACATGAAACTCACTCGGGACTGTAGGGTCTGCACATGTGGCTGTGATTTCTGTAATCCCAGCCTTTCTTTTTTAATGAAGAGTTCAGGTGAGGTTTGGTTTATGCTGTCTTGGCCCAGCCCCCAATACTACTCCAAGAAGCTCACAACTTCAACTGGGAAATGGCTTATTTGCTAAGACCTGTGTTCAATTTCTAAAACCCATGGTGCTTGAAAATGAAAAGGCCAGGTAAGGTGGAGCCTGCAAGCTTGTCATCCAGTTCTGGGGTTCACTGGTCAGCATAGCATACTACGCCCATTCCAGGCCAGTGAGAGATCCTGTCAAACAAAAAATGCTGGCGTGCCTGGGGCATAACAGTTGACGCTGAACTCTGACCTTCACACACTATGCATGTGTACATACACCGATACCGCATGCACACCACCCCAACACAGCAGACACAACAGCCTTTCACTGGTCTTGGTATGGTGCATGCCTTTATCCCAGCACCTGGGATACTAAGGCAGGAGGATTGCCATGAGCCCAAGACCAGCCTGGGCTATGGTATGAATGAGGTCCTGTCCCAAAAACAATAGCAGTATTGGGATGTCTCCATGGCCCCTGACCCCTGTCTCCTGTTCTCTTATTGAAGTTCAAGTAGTCTGAGTAAGGTGACAACTTCCTACATTGCCCATAGGCAGGCTGGGTCACAGGTAGTGACACCAAAACCTGGCAAACATGAGAACTCACTCAGACTCCTGGCTGCATTTTGATATGCCCTATCAGCTCTTGGGGGGGGGGAGCTCCTTTATTGAGCATAGTGGCCAGCCACACTTAATGATCCCGCACCAGAGAGCTGAGGCAGGAGGGTTGGTACACTCTGTGACCATAGCATTCACTGAATCCAAGAATGTATAATTTTCAGCACATTTTTGTCAACAGTCCGAAACACAAGTTGATCTTGTGTTTTGTGCTTGTACCTGGTTGTAATTCTAGTGCTTGGGAGGCAGAGACTAGAGGATCAGGAGCTTAAGAGCAACCTGTGCTACAGTCATCAAAATGGCTCAGTCACTTGTAGCCAAGCGTAATGACTTGAGTTCAACCCCTGGACTTGCATGGTGTGTCCGGAGGAGAGCACAGACTCCTGCAAGTTGTCCTCTGACCTATGAGCAAACATACAAAACAAAGCCAAACAAGAAAGCTGTTTTCTGTGAGCACCATGACATGGACAACTTGGGGGAGTGAGTTCTCCCTCCACCATGTGGATCCCAGACTTCAGTCGTCAGACTTGATGTCAGATGCCTCTACCCACATGGCCATCTCCCCGCCACACAACCTTTGATGTTGTAATTCCCTTGGAGAAACCGAGTCAGGTGCCATTCGTTAAAGCAGGTATGCAGCTAGGTGTTTCGTTTTAAGCCCTGTTGAAGACAGTGACACCCTGCCGCTACGAGATTTAGTAACCTGGGTGGCCTCCCTGACCCACCCCATTCCAGTCGGGAGAGACTGGAAGCTGGGAAAAGCTGTTGTATTCTCGAGCCCTTAGGACCCACAGGGTCTGCTGGAAAATTCAGGGTGTTCTGGGCCAGGGTAGAAAGTCTTGCCAGCTTTGTTCAGGGATGTGGCCGCCGTTCCTGTAAGATTACACAGGGTGGCTTATCCTAGACTCTGTTCTGAGCCTTAACCCCAATGCCAGGTGCACTGACCAGGTGCAGTCCGGGACTTCCCCCGCCCCAGCGGGTCCCCAGAGACACCGCGGCCTCTCAGACCCAGAGGGAGAGGGGAGGCGGGTCGGCACAGGTCCCCAGAGTGGGGGGTGTGGCCGCAGGTGCCGCCCTGACCCCGCCCGGCGAGCTCATTTACGTGCTTCGTGCGGCCCCGCCCGCGGTGGCTAAAGCTACGTGTCCTTGTCCCCCGTGGGCAGCTTCAGCGCGTGCGGCCTCGGATCTGATCCCCAGGTAAACCAAGGGATTGGGGGAAGTGGATGGGACTACTGGGAGAGCACCCAGGGGCAGGACCAGATGGACGGCTGGTTCGGGGTGGGAGGAAAACAGATGTGGCTCCCCCTCAGACTGGCTAGTGCCATCCACGTGGTGGAACTGGGGGCTGCTGCAGGGCCTTGGCAACTGTCAGTCCGGCCTGTGAGCTGTCCTGTGTGCACTTACTGCAGTTCTGGTTCTGGTAGTGTCTGGGCCTGTGTCACGTCCAGGAGAGCTATAAGCGTGCTGTCTAACGGTTGCTGCCGGTCCCTGGGACAACTTACAGTGCTGGGGAGACCCCATAAGCCAGGGTTGGGACCTGTTTCTGGGTGGTTTAAACAAATGGTCGAGGGTTACATAGGCTCAGGAGGCACTTGCAATGGTAAGGGACGTGGGACCTGAAAAGGGTTCCCAGATCGGTGGGGAGGGAGTGAGATCCACGGGAGCACAGGTGAGTCAGCTCAGGGCTCAGTGTGAATGGGAGGCACACAGTGGCACCATGCACCAATGGTCGGCTGCACCGGCTAGCGATACCATTGCATTGGAGAGAAACGATGGGACAGCCACGCTGCGTGCTCACTGGCCACACTGAGTGACTGCAGAGGGGCTGTGTTCTGAATTTCAGTTTGAAGGGCCTCTCCTAGCCACCGCCTCCTGGAAAACAAGCTATGAAGACCAAGAACCGACCTCCCCGGCGCAGGACACCCATGCAGGACCCAGAAGCCACCCCTGGAGAGCAGACTCCCGACAGACCCCAGTCAGGTTCAGGGGGGTCAGAGCTGACAAAGGGTCTTCGAAGTAAGACGGCCCGTGCAGGTGGAGCTCGAGCAGAAGTCAACCGCCGGCGACAGGGGTCCGGGAGCCGCAGGGAGAACAGTGTCCAGAGGCGACTGGAGAGCAATGAGCGGGAAAGACAACGGATGCATAAACTCAACAATGCCTTCCAAGCACTGCGTGAGGTCATCCCGCATGTACGGGCCGACAAGAAACTCTCCAAGATCGAGACCCTCACACTGGCCAAGAACTACATCAAGTCACTGACCGCCACCATACTCACTATGTCCAGCAGCCGCCTCCCAGGGCTGGAGGGGCCGGGTCCTGCGCCAGGCCCTAAACTCTACGAACACTACCATCACCAGCAGCAGCAGCAGCAGCAGCAGGTGGCCGGGGCCATGCTGGGGGCCACCGAGGACCAGCCCCAAGGCCACCTGCAACGGTACTCTACACAGATCCACAGTTTCAGAGAGGGGAGCTAGCACCCGCTCTGGGCTCCGGGGTAGGTTGACAGTGCTGACCTCGCCTGCTCATCTTAACTCTGGTCCCTCCCGCCTGGTGATGACACTGTTGAGGTTGTTCAGGGGATTTTGTTGTTGACCAGAGACTCTTGTATGGCCCAGGCTGACCTGGAACTCCTCATCCTCCTGCCTCCACCTTCTCTATGGCTGGGATTACAGGCACACGTCACCACATGGTGTGGTGCTAGGGACTGAACCAAGGGCTCTGCATGTTAAATGAGCACCGAGCTACACCCCGCAGCCCAAGATTCCATTTTCCTTGAAATTCATCTCAGCCAACAACATGGTGCAGTTTTCCCTAGCCACCCAGGGGACAACGTCAAATCATATTGAGGTCCAAATCTCTGAGGAAAGCCTGCCCAGTCCCTGTAGCTCTTTTCACAAAATAGGCAAGATGGGAACGTGCTTGCCTTCCTCACAATTCTTTTTATTTTTGGTGCAGGGAGAACTTGACTTACAAATGCCCCTGCTACCGCTGAGCCTAAGACCCATCCTGTATTGTGGGGCTACATGGAGGCTGGGCCCACAGCTCACCAGCGACGATAGCAAAGCCAAGATGGCAGCTTGTTCTGCACGAGTCATCTTGGCAGCCCAGATAACCTGGGCCCAACTCAACAACTGGGTTAGAAAGGCCTCGTAGGACTTGAAATGGATAAGGGGATTCTCTGTTATTCCCAAATGGAGACTTCTGGAAAGTTAAGTGCCCTAGGCTGTGGGGCCTGGGATCTGCGGCCCTATGTGGGCACCAGACAGGGTCTTTATGAAGAGAACCCTTGAGCCCCTGTACAGGGATAGACTTGCCCTGGGCCTTTTGCAGGCTTCCCACACCTGTACCCCCAGTCTTGATTCCAGGGGTGCACCGCCATACTTAGTAGTTTTCGTTCGTCTTGCCTTTGCCCCTGGTGTATGCCACGTGTTTTTCCACAAGCTCATGGGACTTATCTCTTGGTACCTTTGGTGTTTTCTCTGAGGCGGAAGCTGGAGTGACAGGCTTGCCCCTCCTCCAAGCTGGTGAGGAATAAGGTTTGAGTGGTTGGCAACTAGCTTCCTCAAGCCCAGCTTCCTTCTGTGGGGCGTTCCTGCCCCACTGGATCTGCCAGGCTTCACTACTTAGCTGTCAGGTGCCTCTCCTTCCTCCGTTGCCTTTCTTCTCAGAACTGTCCTGGGGTTTCTTGGGGTCCGTGCCCCCACTTATTTTTGGAATGACAGGAATCTCACTATATGTAGCTCACATTGGTTCAAATTATGCAGCCCAGGCTGGTTTTGAACTTGTGCTTGGCCCATCCTCCTGCTTCAGCCTCCTGGACACTGTGAACATAGTTATAGGGGGATAGCCCTGGTACCCCAAGAAACAGATAATAGCTACACTGGGCCTGGGGGTGCTGATCTCTCCATCTCAGTGAGACTTGGGTTTTTGTCTGGTCCTTTCACAGATCATAGGTTGGGTAGACTGAAGGCCTTTGTGTCTGTGATTCAGGGATGGTTACTGGGAAAGGTCAATAGTTAGGGAATTTGCCAATGTGCCCTGAGACCAGGCACAACTCCAAGTTGGAGAGACAGAGCCCAGATATTCCTTGTTGTGGGGGACCTGCCCAGTGGAACACAAAAGACCTCTGCCGACGGGACAGTACTACAAACCCGGTGGCTGGCTTCCATATGAGCCAAGGCCAGAGCTCAGCTCATTTTGCTGGACCTTGCCTGGAAGCACAGGGAGGAAGGGAAAATGTCCAGCCGAACTTCTGCCCTAAGACCTGGCTACAGCCCAGGGCTGTCCAGGGTCACTGCCTTGCATGGCCACAGCCTCGTGGCTCTTTGTGCCCCACGAGCTGGTCCTTGCACCACCCCTGCTTCCCAGAGGATGGCATTTGGCCTCGCTCTTCAGCTCTTTACTGGTGACAGACAAGTCTGTGATGCCAGTAAGGCCTGATGGTCTGTCTCCCTGTCCCAAGTCCAGGCTTGTTCTTTTTTCTTTCTTTCTTTCTTTCTTTCTTTCTTTCTTTCTTTCTTTCTTTCTTTCTTTCTTTTTTCTTTCTTTCTTTTGAGATAGGTCTCAGTCTAGGTTGACCTTTGACTTGCTATGTAGTGAAGGATGAACTTCTCATCCTCTTGCCTCTTACGTTGGGATAGACTGCTGGCATGTACCCCCATGCCCAGTTTAGGCAGTTCTGGGGATTGAACCCAAGTGATCTCCACCCCAGCCTAGTGTCTTCATTCCTGCTGAGTTGACTCAAGCCCCTGGACGAGAGGGATAGAGCTTCCCCCAACCAGGTCACCTGGACTGCGGAGCCACCAGAGCTGATCGGCTTCCCATCAACACAAGCAGAGAAACAGGAAATGTGACCTGTCTGGAAAGACCAAGATGAACAGAACGACCTGCGCCCTGCCTGTCACTGCAGTGAAAACATTCCTTCAGTGACTTGAACTGGCTTTTTTCCCTAATGGTTCCTGTAAAGTACTAATGAAATTGTCAGCTGCATCTTGAAATGAAAATATTTTACTGCCACCATGCTTTGGTCCTAGGCACAGGCACCTGGAGACCTATGCCTTTTAATCCAAATGTGTAATAAAAATATATCAGTCATGCCATGCCATGGTATAAATTTTTATTAAATAGAATATCTGTGGAGCCTAGACAGTTTGGTCCGACTGAGGGGGTAAACAGTTGGTGCTCAGCGGCAAAAGGAGGTGTCACTCTGGCTAATGGGCAGAGTGACATCCTTGTGGTGCTCTGTTGAGAGCCATCTGCAGCAGAACACATAGGTCACAGTTGCTAGGGGACAAACCGGGATGCCCACTAGGAAACCTGATCCTGACATGCAGACAGGAGGGTGACTGGAACATCTCTCTGCACATGGATGTGTCTAGTCCCACCTCTGGAAATGCTGAGGACATGGGGCTCCTAGATGTCATTGGGATGGGGCCTCAGAGTAGTTTCCTCTTAGCTTCTGGGAACAGCCTTCATGCAGAATGGAACTCTTCCTGACCATGACATCACACGGAGGACTCCAGGGCAAACCAGTTAGGGGTGAGTGTGTCCTGTCTCAAATGAACAAAGATGGGGCTCTGGCAGCTCCTGAGCGGTGTCTGAAACATGAGACATCACCTACGGGGCACACATGCCAGGGGCCAGGGCTTAGGCCATGACAGGCAGGCCAGAGCTCTAATCTCCGGACAGCAGGCGCCTTCTGCCCAGCCCTGGGGCATAAGATAGTTCTGGCCATACCCTCTCCACAGGGCACAGAATTCCTCACCCAAGTCTAGGGTGCAAGCTGCCTCCACCCAGACCTGGCCACCCTGCAACAAGATCCCTGGCAAGGAGGCCCCGCCCCCATAACTGAAAGAGGAGTTAAACTGGGGCTCACAATGCTGATTCTCTACATGGAGACTACCTTGCAGTGCACCCCAGGAGGGGACCCCAAACCAGGATACGAGCCACCGGGTTCCAGAAGCAGGGTTTCATGTAGCCCAGGCTGGTCTCAAACGTACTGAGGATAGCCTTGAACTCCTGCTCTTCTTGCCTTCAGAGTACTGGGATTGCAGGCATGCACCATCGTGCCTGGTTTATTTATGTAGATTTTTGTGTGTGTGTGAGACAGTCTTGCTATGTAGGTAGTCTTGGGTAGTCTCAAACTCACAATCCTCCTGCCTCAGTCTCCTGAGAGCCCGGCACATAGGCATCAGCCACCAACTCCTTGGCTTAACTTTTGAAGCAAAACCCCATTTGGAAAACCTGATGAGGGTTGTCTGCAAACTGAAGCTTGGAGACCTGAGCCTCACAGCTGTTTCCCCTGGGGGTGATTTAGGGTCTCCAGGTGAGGAAGGCCCCTCCCAGGATCTGCCTCTTTAGGACCAGAGTTTCTGGAGGGCTCTGAGGACCTGGTCTGGAAAGCTGGGAGGTGTAACAGGGAGGGATCAGGGCTGAGGGCCCCAGGCAGTGGTCATCTCCTTCCATCTTCCCTCCAGCACCCCCCACAGACTGGGAACACCTGAGGGACTGCCCCCCCCAGTTACATCTCTAGGCCTTTTGTCAGTGCTTCAGAAATGGCTGACTTTGGCCTGACTGCCCGTGCATGTCTGGGCCAGGGTGATGTCCTCCCATACTACACAAGAAAAGTTCCGTTCCAGTCCTTCAGGCTCAAACCATCCTTGCCTCTGGTTGAGGAGAGGCTTCAGCAGTAAACGGGACCTTGACCATGGGCCTCCTGTTCCCTGGACACGTTCCTGGGTACCATGGTGGCATTGGCTCGGACAGAGATGTGGTCCCAGCCTCCCTACAAGCAGAAAGCCATAGCCATGTATGTCACTTAGGACCCAAGTTTTCTCCCAAAGGCTCTTCCACCAACCCCCATGCTGTGTCTGGTGGACACGGTGTCATGAAATCATCCCAGATTGGCAGTGCACTTACTCCAATGCCATAGTCCCAGCCCTGCCCTTTGGGCTCCCGAGGTTGGACACCCATACGATGACACACTGTCCCCCGGCTCAGGCCATGACTTCCCTGGACTTTGTTGGCAATTACCCAGACCTGGAACAGAACTTTGTTGGAGTTCCTGGCCCAGCTGCAGAGGGGCAGCTGGGTGTGTGTGTGTGTGTGTGTGTGTGTGTGTGTGTGTGTGTGTGAGAGAGAGAAAGAGAGAGAGAGAGAGAGAGAGAGAGAGAGAGAGAGAGAGAGAGAGAGCAGAGAGCAGAGAGCAGAGAGGAGACCCTCATCCCCACTGCCAATAACCTGCCCTCCCCTCCCCCCTCACCTGGTCCAGCGGCCCCACAGACACCTTGCGCACATTGTTGGATACGTGCTCCCAGCTGGAGCCTTGTGGGTAGCTGGGGGTGATCCCTGCTCGATACCACAGGTTCCCTGGACAGACAAACAACCAAGGTCATCAGCAAAGCCCTTTGGTTCCTCTTGGCATGCTGTGGGGTCATCTTCCAGCTCCCCCTCCAATCCTTCACATCCAAGGGCTCTTGATGACCCACAGCCAGGAGCCTGGGCCACAGCCAGCCCTGTCTCTCTGTGTTCTAGGCTTCATAATCGTCTCATTGTGCTTCTTGGGGCTGATAGCCTCAGCCTCTCTACTGAGGGAGAAGCCGAGGACAAAGAATGTTTTAAGCAAATAAAAAGAAAACCGGATCTGGATGCAACACCTTGGACTCCAAGACTGTTTTTGTTTTCTTTTTCAGTCTCATATAGCCCAGGCTGGCTTTGAACTCCTGATCCTGCTGCCTCCATCTCCCAGTATTGAGATCACCGATGCACGAGCCACACCCAGTGCAGGTGGTGCCGGGGATTGAACTCGGGGATTTCTGTGTCAGAGGTAGGTGCTCTATCAACTGAGCTGTGTGTTTTCTCCAGGTTTTTGGAGATGGGATCTCACTATGTAGCTCAGGACATCCTCAAACTGATCCTTCTGACACAGTCTTTCCAGGACAACAGAGGTCATAAGACACACTCTACCATACCTGCCTTCAAGTTCTGAGACAGGGTCTCATGTGTTCCAGGGTTGCCTTGAACTTACTGAGGATGGCCTGAACTTCTGATCCTCCTGCCTCTGTCTCCCAAGTGCTAGAATCGTAGACAGGCCTGTGCTGCCATGGCTCCAAGTCTTGATTCTGCTTTTCCTACCCTCTCATCAATACAATCAGTAAAGTCTTGAGAAGAATGGGCCAGGGTCCTGTCTGAGGTGACAAGGGGATCAGAAATGGTCCGGTGCTACCTATGGGGCTCCTGTGTCCCACACCAGGTGCTCCTAGGTGATGTTCTAGATGCATCCGGGGCTAGTGTCATAAACTGAGTAAGTTGGGGAAGAGACTAAGGCTGGCTCTGAGCTGACATTTCTGGCCTCATGTAGGACTCCTAGGGGCTTTGCTGTACTGTCTTGATCCAGGTCCTGCCTGCATGGCTCCTGAGGGTCAACACTGGCCTGAGCTCCCGTACCCTGTCTCTGTGTTAACTACAATGCAGCCAGGTGACATTAACAGCTAAAGTTCCCTGTCCCTAGGAAACAATGCAGAAAGGTCTGGAGACTTCAAAAGGGTGCTTTGAGAAGGGATGACAACCCAGCCTACTTGTGGCCTGGTCACGATCATACTGGGGTATCCATGGGACCCTATCCTCACCACTGACCATGCAGACTCAGAAATAACTTGCCATTTTCATCCAAGGCATATACTGATGTCTGGCCCACAGACACCTGTGTCAGCTTCTGTTTGGGAGGAGATGGGATGTGGTACCAGCAGTCACCTGTGATGGGAAAAAATGCCTCAGGAGGTTATCGGGAAACCCCACACCTGGGAGCCCAAACCCAGGCCTGTCCAATGCTCCAAAGATCACAAGGCTGAGCCCTTGAAGCCAGCCTTCAGCCCCAGCTGAACAACGTGTGGCTGGGCACAGTGTATACGCTGAGGGTCATGTCAGACCACCTCAGGCTCTGCTAGCCACCCAATACCCCAGGTTTGCCCAGAGTCCTTTGGGGTCCGTCCTGGGTTCTGTTGTCAAGCCCACCTCATCCATGCGACTTGAAGGTGCCTAGCCTGGTACACAGTTGGGAGACGGACTCTGGCTGCCCTTCAACCCCCTCAAAACCCAGCAAAGAAAAGGCCAGCAGGGCTCACGCCCTCAGATAACAAGAGTGAGCCCACAGCTGAGGAGCCCTCATCAGGGATGCTGTCCCAGGCTGTCCCAGTGTGGATGAGGTGGCCTCTGAGGGAGGAGCCCAACTCACCGCTGAGCCTGCTCCAGCGGAAGCCCTCTGAATTGAGTAAGAGACTGACCCACCATCTTAAAGGGAAACCTCCTTCCCATGCTGCACCAGAGTAGGGCTAGAGGTAGGGGTGGGTGCCACTTACCAGCTGGCTGGGAGGGCGAGACGGAGCCCCGGTAGAATGCGGAACCATCCCTGGCCACAGCCCACACCTGATAGCAGGTGCCGATGGAGACAGAGGCGAAAGGCTGGTCAGTGCCAACGTGAAGCCAAGAGGAACCCTGGAGACGGAAGGGCGAGGGAGACTGCTCAGGGGCCAATGGGACCATCTGGCCTTCTTCTCTGGGGCAGAGACTCAAAGGGGGTATAACGCACCTAAGCCTGCCCGGGACATGGAGGGTGTCCAGGGTGCTCTAACCTAGCCCTAACTGCAGTCTACCTTGGCCTACTGTTGAGCCCCTGGACTCAGGCCTCTCAAAGGGAAGAAGTGCAGCCTGTGCACTTCATCAAGGGTTCTAAGGAGCCACCGTGTCACCTGGGCCCTGCCCCCCCACCCCCACCCCACTCCCAGTTCCTGGACAGATGGCAAGTCTCCATGCCAACCTCATCCTTGGTACGTACTACCTGCCTCGTTTGGATTACATATGACATTCTCTCACCCTCTGGACCCATTCTGGGCAGGTCTGGGGAAACCTGAGGTTAGGTGCCTCTCAAGGAAGAATCCTGATATTCAGAAGATGCTACAAAAAACAGGGACAACCCTGAAGGCCAGGAGGTTGGTGCTCACCGCGGGGTTGAGTTCAGATACACCCAGACGGCACAGGACATCCCCCTTGTCACTGACAGCCCACAGCGCAATGTGGTGTCCTCGTCCATCCGCATCTGCACTCTCTGGGATGATGGACACATCGCTGAGAGCAATAGGGGCCACCTCTAGCCATGGCCCACTGGTCACCAGCTTGCATTTTCTGTTCGGGGGAAATATGAGCCTGAGTCCAGGCACCAGCCGTGACAGCAAGCCCCAGGGCATGTCACCACTCATCACTACCTGCTGCGGAACACAAGCACGGCCCAGCATGCAGAAGCTGAGCTGGACGCCCCTGCCTGGGATAGGGGTTAGTCACAGACTCCTGGGCTTGGGGGATGGGCAGAGCACCCAATGGGTGGCAATGATGGACTCCTATCTGTTCTCTGCCCTTCCCCCAGCTCACCCTCCAACCTATGGGCGAGCCCAGCCAGTGACATTTCTCTTATTTTTTTTTCAGAACAAACTTCAGAAAGCAGAGCACTAGGAGCCCGCAGGCATTTCCTGGGTTGACATTTACTTTGACTCTGGCTTCCCTCCCTCGGTCTCTGCTTCTTTCCTGGGGACTTTTGTCAGAGGCCAGCAGATCTGGCTCAAGAGAAACCAGCGTCCCCTTCCCTGGTCATAGAGGAAGAATTGGAAGGGGGGTGACTGAACCCACTACCCTGCAGTTCTGTCTCTCACCTGGCCCAGCACCTTCTCCTGACAAAATCCTTCATGGTTTTGTACCCATGGTAAGAGCTACAAGAGGAAGAAATGGTGCAATCAAGATCACTTCACAGAACTTTCTAGAAAGTGACACTGTACACACTCTTTTCCCAGCGTTAGGTCACATAAGCAGAGGAGTAGCTGTGGCCACGTATAGTTCTCCTAGCTGCCTCAATGTGATCAGGGCTGAAATGTAGCTTTCAGGGGTCCCCTGAGGCCTGGGCATGGCAGCAGCTGTCCAGGAGGTTGGGCTGGGTCTGTCCCCTCCCCAGCACTATCAGAGCATGCTTGGGGAATGGGAGCCTTTGGTCTGGTTAAGAGGCCTCACTGCCACCCGAGGGGAATGACCTGAACTGTCACCCAAGTCTGCTCAGAAGCCATCCAGCTGGGGCCCTGCCTTAGGTCCTTCTTGCTCATTCTTCTGACTGGACATCTTCACTGTGACGGGCCTGATCCAGCTTCAGAGGCTCCTGATACAGTATGAGCCACCAGTCCCAACTTTGTATGTAGGGTATAGGCAGAGCTCCCTAGAGTCCTTCCCACCCCAACCCTGAAGCCTCTGAGATAACATTGGGGTAGGTTCTGCTACTCAGCCGGGCTGGGGTAGAGGGTGCCAGCCCCAGAAGCTCAGAGCACAGAGAGATGCTCACGCAGGGAAGTCACTGGCGTACTGCCATCCTTCCTGGTCGGTGCCTCCGGGGACACTGAAGTCCACATACCAGTCAGAGACCTGGGAGAGAGCGAGTCAGTGTGAATGGGAGACCCCCTCCCTCAATACCCACAGGCGAGCAGAACCCTGGGCGACAGGAGGGCCAGGGCTGGCGGACCGCACACATTACACACAGGGGAGGCAGGACTCACCCAGGTCCACTGCAGGGAGGGTGGCTTTGTGCCCGCCTTGGTGCACTCCTGCAGTCCCGTAGCATCACTCCACATGTACCGGTCAGTGGGCAGCCCCCTGCAGCGGGATGGCAGATGCAGGGTGAAGACAGAGGACTCAGAATAGGTCACCGCACCCAGACACTCAAAGTCATGGGTGTATACCTCATCCCTGCTGGGGATGTGGCAGAACTGCCTGAACCTCTAGATTCACTCACACACCAGGGAAAACGGGCAAAAGCAGAATTGCCCCAGGGCTGGGAGACCAACTGAAATCACCTCGTGTCACCACAGTGCCTGGGCCATAACAACTAAGCCATCTATTGAAGCCATGGTCTGGGAGTCTGCTCTCTTTCCCTTATGCTATGGCCTTAATTGCTGTGCCCCAACCCCACAGGAGGTTGCGTCTCTCGCCCAGTAACCATGACAGCTAATCTTTTTTGTCTGTTTGAGATGGGGCTTCTTTGTGTAGCCCTGGCCGGGGATGATTGATCTTGCCACCTTGCTTAGATTACCCAGGCTTGGGCAGGGGAGATTAACAGCTCTATGGCCTTTATTTATATTTTAGTTTTAAATTTTAAGAAATCTATTCCTAGTCAGGTATAGTGGTGTGTGCCTTTAATCCCAGCACTTGGGACATAGAGGCAGGTGGAGCTCTGTGAGTTCAAGGGCAGCCTGGTCTACAGAGTGAGTTCCAGGACAGCCAGGGCTACACAGAGAAACCCTGTCTTGAAAGAAAACCAAACAAAAGTTACATATGTGTATTTGTATATGTCTGTGTGTGAGTGCCTGCAAAGGCCAGAAGAGAGCATCAGATCCCCTAGATCTGGAGTCATAGGAGGTCATGTTAGCAGCTGATGTGGGTGAACAAACTCAGGTCTTTGGCAAGAGCAGTATGCGCTTTTCACCACTAGGCCATATTTCTATAGAGACAGGGTCTAAGAATAAAGTTTAAGAAGAAGGGAAAGTATGGTGATATCCTTCTTGCACAAATAAACCCTGTCTGGGGGTCAGAGAATGGAGTTTGCCACTAGATAATCATAGGGGTCTGGAGGTCTGTACAGACAGACAGAAAGTGATGTAGCTGGACAGAAACAGGATATAAGCAGAGAGAAACAGGAAATCACTCTCTTCTCTGTACAGACTCTTAGGAGGTAAGGTGTGCTGTGGCTTAGTCCTTCTCCAGTGATCTCTCAGCATTTCCCTATGTCTGACTCCGGCTTCTTATTATCTAGACCAATTAAGAACTCAGTTTATAGGGAAGAGTCTGGGCAAACAGTGCAGTTGGTAAAAGACTATGCTTGCAAGCATGAGGACTCAATTTCAACCTTCAGAACCCATATAAGAAGTTGGCTGGGGGCTGAAATGGCGCAGGGATCAAGAGCTTGTACTGCCCTCACCGAGGACCCGAGCTTGTTTCCCAGCACCCTCATTAGGAGGTTCACAACAGCTGGAGGGGATCCAGCATTCTTCTGGCCTCTGTGGACACCTACACTCATGTTCACAAACTTGTGTATGCACAAAAATAAAATGAGCCAGGTGGTGGCGCACGCCTTTAATCCCAGCCCTTGGGAGGCAGAGGCAGGCGGATCTCTGTAGTTAGAGGCCAGCCTGGTCTACAGAGCAAGTTCCAGGACAGCCATAGCTATCACACAGAGAAACTCTGCCTCAAAAACAAAACAAACAAACAAACAAAAAAAAAACAAAAATGAGTGAATGAATAAATAAATAAATGAAAATAAAATAAATCTTAGAGAGAGAAAAGCTGGGACGTTCACACACATGCTCACACTTGCACACACACCTAAAAAGACACGCCATCTAGTTACTTCCGGGCTGGAGGTCTTGACCCCAGTTCAGGCTATGCTGAACACTGCTGTCCAGCTTTTGTCAGGTCTGTGACCTGGGCCAGACAGCACCGTCACCAAGCATCCATGCACCCACCTGCTGGTATAGCCGGTGACAGGGTTCCAACGCTGGTTCTCATAGATGTAGACACTCTTCACATCTGACTGTGTATAAATGTTGCTGGTGCTGCTGGCCAGGCCTGGAGAAGAGGAGAGAAGAGGCTACTGGGACCCAGGCCAATAGCCAGGACCCTGAGGCTGCAGCCAGGGACTTGACCTTTCTGTCTGAAACAGGTAGGGAGGACAGATCAGAGCCAGGGAGGCTGTGACAGGTTATTTGATCTCAAAGGGACCAGCCTTGCTTGGGTTTCTGTCTCCTGTGAGTCCATAATTCCTTTGGAACTGCATTGTTTCCACGGGAGAGATCTGCAACAGGGTCTCACTTTATGTCCCAGACAGACCTCAAACACACAGAGATCTGCTGGCTTCTGCTTCCCGAGTGCTGGAAGCGAAGTCAGGAGACAGCACACCAGGCCCCTCCGTTCTCAGAGACCCCGCTGCCCTGTTGTCTTACTGTCTAGTGCTCAGCTATTAGCCCAGCTCGCCTATCAGCAAAGCTACCTTGACCACACAGAGGACCTCTGTGAGTCTGGATGTTCTCAAAGGCAGAACAGAGACCAAAGTCATTCCTGCCTCGAGGTCAGGGAAATTCTTTGGCCTGTGAAGTAGTAGGTTCCTGTGGTCTTGGTGAGCCACAGTTCCCCATTGTCAGCTGCTTCCCCACCGTGGGGTATCGGGGCTGTGGCATAGGATATATCTTAGAGCTTGCTTTTGTCTCTACTTTCCACCCTAAACTTGGGGATCCCTGTGGTGGGGACAACTCACTTTCCCTAAAGATTTTGGAATTTGGCACAATCAGGGAACATGGGTTCTGGGGTTACCCCAAAGTACTATATGATTTCATTTATGAAATGAGGTGCTGAACATATTAGAGGACCTTGGCAGCTGTTGTTCTAGAAACTTCGAGTTCCTCTGCTGTGTTGGTGGAGTCCCAGAGGACATCTTGGAGGCTAGGCCTATTCTCTGGGTTCTCAAGTGCCATCTGTGGACTGGGCTGGGACTGCCTTCTGTGGAGGCTGGCAGTGGTGAAGGTTACCTTTCAGCCAGCTGTTTAAGTGTCGATACTGGGACAGTGGCCCTGGGCACTGGGAAGGGTAGCCAGATGGGATTAGGGGAGGTTATGCCCAGAAGGTTTTGGGAACTAATCTTGCCAGCCTCAGGTGCTCAGGGTCACCCTCACCTTGGAAGCAACCTCCGCCATAGCCGCCAGTGTATACCCAGGCTGTGTGGTCATAGCCAATGCCCCACACCACACCTCGGCTGTTGGCCTCTATAATCCGCAAGTGGCCTCCCATCTGCCGCCAGAACCTGCAGGGGTGATAAAAGCCCTTCAATCAGCTATCCAACAGACCTCACTTAGCTAAATTCTACAAGACTGAGACCTCCACACCAGGACAACAGACAGCCCACTTGGCTCCTGTTTGAGAGTGGCACACAAGAGGCCGGGTGTCCCTAAGAGCTTGTCCCCCTCACCCCTGAACCATACTGACCATGGGACAGGACTCTGTAGCCCAATCCACAATGCCTCCCTCCTGGGGCTGGGGAATGGAGCCGGGGTTGGTCACAATGTGCTAGGTGCAGCCAGGCTTAAATGTCATGGCAGAGAGCAGGGAATGTGCCATTTAATCCTCTGTGTGAGGAACAGTGTGGCCAGCTGGCTTCGAGGCCATCCTAGGGAGGCTACCTGGGGACAGCCACCTCCGAAGCAGGAAGATGGGTTGGTTTTCTGTAGGTTCTGCCTCTGCCACCAGGAGGTGGTGAGTGCGCTGGCTACCCATGGGACATTTGAGTCTATGATTCCTGGGCAGGACTGTGGTCACTGATAAGGGAATCCAGAGCTTCCCTGGCGGTCCTCACCCATCCTCTTCCTCCCGAGTCCTGCTCCTACCAGTCCTTCATAACCTCCTATTTCATGCCTCTCAGATCCCAGGCTGTCCTCAAACTCTACACAGCCAAGGGTAACCTTGAACTCACCATCCTCTTGTTCCCACCTCCACGCATGGGACTAGCACACTCAGTTTACGGGTTACTGAGGATTGAACCCAAGGTTCCTACATTCTAGGTAAACACTCTAACAACTGAAATACTCAGTGACCTACCCCTCCATGGCTTTAAATGCCCCAACAGAGAGTCCCCTGCTCCAGGACCCCCATCTCTAAAGGCAATGGGAACCCGTCCCCACTTTCCCAAGAACCTCTCCCTGCCTCATCCCAAGACTTCCTCCCTCTCCTCTCTGCTTCCAGGGCGCCCACACTGCAGGGTCTCAGAACTGGGAAGGGACTGGGCCGCCAGGTTCAGCCTGGTGAGGAAGATGTGGTTTCTCTGCTTTCGCCATGGAAGCCCCTCGGGGTGGAACTAGATCCCATTTACCGCACTCCCAGTACTCCAGGCTACGCCACACTCCAAGTACCCAAGTCTACTCCAGAGTTGCTTGGTTGGCACCACCGACCTCCAAGCCCAGCCTTGAACAGGCCTAGTGGGCCTCAGGGTCCAGGAAAATGGCTAACCACTTTCCTGGCTGGTCAGTGAGACGCTGCAGTATGTCAGTTCAGGTCCCACTAGAGACGCCCCTTCTAGAAACACATGGGGCCTTGGGTGGGGTGGGTGTATGTGTGACTCACATCTGGTCGCAAGGTAGCAGGTGCTCACGGGCTTCCAGGTCTGGGCTGGGCTCGCTTACAAAGATGTCACCCTTGCAGGTGACAGACCAGATGGCCTGTGGGGACGGGCGTCCGTGGACCTTCCGGCTCTCACAGCAGGACAGGCTGAGCAAGGCAAGCTGGCGTGGGTATACAGCTGGTCACTGCCGGGCAGACTGAGGCCTGGGTGGTCAGTTCTCACTAAGCCCTTTCGGACCCTGGTCACTCACCCAGTCATTCATGTCTTGCTCTGTGGCGGCAGCCAGGCGCACAGGCCACCTCTGTCTCGTCCTCTCGGGGGTGTAGAGGGCAAAGGAGTGCTTGGCTTCATTAAGCACGGGGACCAGTACAGTCACCTCATTTAGGAACACATGCAGGTACTGTTGGGATAGGGTGCACGGTGAGGGTCTCCTTGGGCAAGGGCCCTCATCCAGACCTCATTCTCGGGCCTCATGGCCCAGTTGCCAGTGCTGATGAACAAACGCTCTGGGCTGAGGCTGAGTTCTTAGAGTGCTTGTCTAGTATGCTTCCCAGCACCGCGCAGACCAGGCATGGTGCTGAAAGACAGCCTGCTTCCCGCCTGCCCCTCCTGTAAAAATGCGACTGCCCAGCACGTGGGAGACTAGGATGCATCTCCCCAACCTTCTAGCCTCATCTCAAAGGCCAAAGTCCGGACAAGGATGATTCAAACACGTGACCCCAGAACCTGGGAGGGTGACGCTGAAGAACGGTGAGTTCAAGGCCACCCTGGGCTACATGGTGAGTTCCAAGCCTGGCTAGTTAACTTAGTAAGGCCCTGTCTCAAAATAAAAGGACTAGGAAAATGTGCAGCAGTATTTGGATTAAAAAAAAACAAGCGGCTGCTGTCAGAGGGTGCTGGTTTGGCAAGGCCACAGCACAGGCTGCTGCACACGTGCCCACATGGGGCTTTGCCAGTGGGGACAGGGTCTGGAGTGAGCACCTCAAGAGCCTACTCCATGTCCCTCTCTGGGAAACCGTCCCTGATGGTCCTCCTCCCCTGCCAAGTGCTCCCCATCTGTACCTTCTTTTCCTCGTGGATCATGTAATAGATGAAGAGGATGCTGTCTCGAGCCCCGTCATGCCCTGTGAACTGCTCCAGGGCCACACGGACGTCCACCCATTTGTGGGGCTTCCAGTCACACCACCACTGCAGGGACCCGGTCTTCACCCACACCGACTGTGGCATGGACAGAGGTTCAGGCAGAGGTTACAGGCCGCTCTTTCCCAGAACCTTAGAGCGATTCTAGCCCTTGGTCCTGCCCGCACCCCCCCACCCCCCACCCCGTTCTTCACCCTTCTAGCATCTTCTTGCTTCCAATAAAGATGTCAGTGCCACAAATGGACACTAGGTGGCGCCAGATACACAGCTGTCTCATCAGGCTTCGTGAGGCCACATCCTTAGCCCACATTCTGGATAGGGAAACTGAGGCTTAAGGAAGAGGTCACACCTGGCCAAAGTCCGAGAAAAAGTCAATGCTATCGATAAAAGTCTCAGGCTGCCTAGGTGCACAGGCCACAAGCTTCCGGGTCAGTCTAGGCCAAGGCTTCTTGTGTTCTATTTAATTTCTCTTTCCCTGGTCTGACTATGGCCATCAGAGGTTGGGTCTCTGTCTCCGAAGGTATGGAGTATGCCAAGGAGGATGACCTTGGGGAGGGCAGTGACTGTCTAAAACAACATCCTGACCCAATTCATCAAAATACTACAAGTGGGAGTCTAGGTTCCTGGAAGGGGACAGACAAGGTTGACATGGTTTGCCTTCTCCTCCCTGTCCACTGCCCTCTGAGGATGCTTGTTTCCAAGGCCCACAGGGCATCCTGAAGGTGGTGGGACCCCAATAAAAGTCCTCCAGGATAGACGAATAAACCACCAACTAGATTCCTTATCCTTGGATCTGCTTTGGGGCCTGGAAGTACTGCTGGGCACGTCTACTCTTAACACCCCGCATCAGGGCTGGCGTACAGCGAAGACGCAATCACTAAATGAGCAGGAGCTGGTGCGACCCGAGCACTCGGGAGGCTGAGGCAGGTGATTGACCGATGTGACATTAGCCTGGGATACAGAATGAGTTCCCGGCTAGCATGGGGCACAGTGAGCCCCTATCCCTAAACAAACGCACAGAAAGGGTGTGGCAGAGCCACTGGGTCCCACCTGCTCCACGGCCTGCTCGTAGTGCCTGAAGCTCTCCAGCTCCCTCTTGGTCCTCTCTGTGAGCTGCTGGAAGATCTGTTTCCTCCAGGCTGCCGTCTGGGCAGGTGTGATGGACAGGGACAGCGACTGCACTGAGGGGGACAGCCCTGCAAGAGGCCAGAGCCTCAGGCCAGGTGCCATCCTGCCTGACGCTGGGCAAGAGGGAGTGCGGGTCCCTGCACCCCCATGCCTGTGATGGCCCATCTTGACAGGACCTAGGCCCAGTGAAGCAGTGTCTAGACAGGGTTAACTGAGATGGGCGGGCCCACCTTGAATGGGGCGGCACCATCCCATGAGCTGGGGCCCCAGCCTGAGTGAAAAGGAGAAACAGCATCCATCCCTGTTTCTTAACGGGGGAGCAATGTGACTCCCCGCCACCACGGTGAGCTACAACCATGAGCCAAGATAAGGCCTCCCTCTGAAACCTTCCTTGGCTGGTTTTGTCCCAGTTTTGTCCCAGGAGTGAGAAAGGGAATGATAACAATCCCTATGTCAGTCTCAAAATTTTTTATTTTCTAAGCCGGGTGTGGTGGCCCACACCTTTAGTCCCAGCACTAGGGAGGCAGAGGCAGGTGGATCTCTGTGAGTTTGTAGCCAGCCTGGTCTACAAGAGCTAGTTCCAGGACAGGCTCCAAAGCCACAGAGAAACCCTGTCTTGAAAAAGCAAAAGAAAAATTTTTATTTTCTTTCCTTTCTTCTCTTTCTGTGTGTGCTGATGGTGGGGTATCTTTTCTCAGTCATTTCTCCATCTTTTTTATTTATTTATTTTTGAGACTAGATCTCTCACTATTGCCTGGCCAGCAAGCCCCCAACACTGGGGTTACAGGCATTTACTGTTCTAGGGATCTGAACTCAGGTCCTCATGCTTGCACAGCAAGCACTGTACGCACTGAGGCATCTCCCCAGTCTCCAGTTCCAATCCATCTGTTCCAGCTTACAAACTGTTCTGTGAGCCTTCCTGCTTGGAGCCTCGGAAGGCCAGAGACTGGCCCAGGGACTTGGTTAAGGTAGCTGAGCGTAGGCCAGGCGTTGGTGGCGCACGCCTTTAATCCCAGCACTTGGGAGGCAGAGGCAGGCGGATCTCTGTGAGTTCGAGACCAGCCTGGACTACCAAGCGAGTTCCAGGACAGCCTCCAAAGCCACAGAGAAACCCTGTCTCGAAAAACCAAAAATAAATAAATAAATAAATAAAAGGTTGCTGAGCGCAGAGCCTCCAGGCAGGGTGGTGAATCTGTTGCAGTCCTCAGGCAAGCCTATACCCACCCCATGCAGCCACAGACACCCACCCACGGGACGCTCTGGATACACCAGTCCTGTGAGCTCCCTTACCTGACTGGACAGTGAACCACTTGAGCACAGAGCAGGCCTCCACTGCACATCCCCCTCCAGACACCCAGGCCCACAGAGGATGGTCATCTGCAACGTAGGGCTCCTCCATGCCCAGTGGGAAGAGCCCCAGGGAGGAGAGGCCTGTAGTCTCAGGAAAGCCTGCAGATGGCTGGCTAGACACCCTCTTGGGCTCCTTTAAGTCAATGTTAGTCCAGGGTAGCTCAGCTGGTGTGGAGGCTGGGCCATGGCATTCATCAACGCCAGAGGCCTCAGGGGCCTTCTTGCTGTCGGCCGGGCAGGCGTTCTCCAAGGTGTCCTCAGTGCTCCCACGGGTCTCAGGGCCCTTGGACAAGCTCCCTTTAAGGCTCCTGGAATTGTCCACAGATTCTCTGGGGAGAACTTGTTCGGGGTCCTGTCTCTCCACTTCTGAGGAGGCATCAGTATCACTGGGTGCAGATTCGGTACCACTGCCCCTCACCTCATCACCGAAGAAGCAGCCAGCGCTGGGGACGAAATAGCACAAACTCACTTTCTGGTGGAAGATGTGTTTCGCCACCGTAACAGTGTGGATGTAGTCACACCCAAGCCCCTGAGCTTTTGTCTACTGCTCCTGCAGCTTCCAGGGGCTGGAAGGCCCCATCACATCCCAGGTTGAGGCGTGTATTTGTTGTTGTTTTTAGACGGGCTGGAGATGTAGCTCAATTGGTAAAGTGTTTGCTAGAATGGGCGAAGCCCTGCGTTTGATCTTCAGCACCCCATAAAACTGGGTGCATGCCTGTCATCCCAGTTTGACGGAGGTAGAGGCAGGAGGGTCAGGAGTTCAAGGCCATCCTCCAGTACACAGATAGGCTATATTTCATGTTGCCTGGAACTCACTCTGTAGCCCAGGTTACCCTTGAATTTATAGCAATCCCGAATGCCAGGATTGCAGGCACACACCACCACACTCAACTGGAGTAACTTGTTGCCTTGTTTTGTTTTGGAGACAGGGTCTCATGCATCCCAGGACTGGTCTCAAACTCGTTGTATAACCACAGATGATCTTAAATGCCTGATCCTCCTGCCTCTACCTTCCAAATGCTGGGATTACTGGTGTGTACCACCATAACCAGTTCATGTGGTGCTGAGGATGGACCCCAGAACTTCATGCACCATAGGCAATCACTGCTCCAACTGAGCCACATTGCCGGCTCTCCGGCATCTCTTTGATGAAGGTAAAACACACCTGAGAGTTTTTCTTCTTCTGTTTTTGTTGGTGTCATTATTATTGTAGGAATGAGGATTAAATCCAGGGATAGAGAAGTGGCCTAACAAAGAGCTTACACCTTCAGCCCCTTCCTGTTTATTTATTTTGTTTTTTTTTTTTTTTTGAGGCAGGATTTCTCTGTATAGTCCTGACTGTCCTGGAATTCGCTCTGTAATCTAGGCTGGTCTCGAACTCACAGAGCTCTACCTATACCTACCTCTGCCTCCCGAGTGCTGGGACTAAAGACATAAGCTACCACCACCCGGCTGTACCTTTTTTTTTGGGGGGGGGAGGAGGTTTGAGACAGGGTTTCTCTGTGTAGCTTTGAGCCTGTCCTGGAACTCACTCAGCAGACCAGGCTGGTCTCAAACTCACAGAGATCCACCTGCTTCTGCCTCCCAAGTGCTGGCATTAAAGGCATGCGCCACTGCCCACTATACTTTTGTATTTTAAAATGACCTCACTAAATGACCTTTGTAGGTAATCTGAACTCCCTCTGTAGTTCAGGCAGCCCTTAAACTTGTGATCCTCCTGCCTTAGTCTCTGAGTGATGGACACTTGCTACCATGCCCAGCTAAAGTTGACCTTTTCTATATTGTTGCTGTTTTGAAACAGGGTATTAGCATCATATTCACTATGTAGCCAAGGATGACCTCCACTGCCACATTCCCAAGTGCTAGGATTACAGGTAGATTCTACCATCTCTGGGCTACACTGACTACTTTAAGGCATACAATTCAGTAGCATTTTGCACACTTAAAACTTTGTAGCAACTGTTACCATTCCCTAGAGTCTTGGTTAACCTTAAGCTGTTAACCTTACCAGCTTAGAATCGGTCATTTGGGAGGTGACTTTAAATTGAGGAATTGCCCAGATTATACTGGCCTGTGAGCAAGTCTGTGGGAGAGTCTTGATATTAATTGAGATAGGAGGACCCAGCCCACTGTGGGCAGCGCCATTCCCTGGGCAAGTGAGCCTGGGCTATCTAAGAAAGTTAGATAGGCAAGTGCCCGTGGATGAGCGGGCGAACAGCGCTCCTGCATAGTTCAGGCTGTAACTCCTCGCTTGGCTGTAACTTCTTTGTTCAGGGGTAATACTCAATATGTGGACCATCAAGCAGGCCTGCCTTCAAGTTCCTGTCTTGACCCCCTCAATGATGGACTGTGGCCTGTAAGATGAAATAACCCCCTTTCTCCCACTAAATTACTTCTGGTTAGAGTGTTTTATCACAGCAATCTAGATATGATTAGGACACCTAGCTACAGAACTTTTTCTTCTCTTTTTGTTTTTGTTGGAACAAAAGTCCCACTGTGTGGCTCAGGCTTGTCCAGAATTCATAATCTTCACATGAGACCACAGACAGTTTGTCCCACCCAACTGTCTGTGCCACGCTCCCCTGTGTTACCTGAGGAGACTGGATGAGCTGCCAGAGTGTGACCGGTCACTTTCTCGGCCCACAATGATGGGCTTCCATGTCTTCCCGCTGAGCTCACTGGGGGTGACGCCCTGCCGGAAGTACACAGCTCGGTCCTCACAGCTGATGCCCCAGACCTAGAACAGGCAGGGTGCTGGTGAGAGGCAGCTGGACACATACCTTGAGCTCCTACCCCTTTTGTCGGGGGCTGGGGAAGAGTGGAGGGTCCAGGAGTGCTCAACAGGGCTGTAGGACAAGTATGCAAATACACGCAGGAGTCCCCTTATAGTGACGTGGGAGCATGCATGAGTGTTTGTCAGGGCTAGGAATGTCTGGTGGTGGGCAGGTGGCTGGTGACTGCAGAAATCCAGAAATCCAGGCAGGAGAAGGCTGGCAGGACTGGGGGAAGGGAGGGGTTGCAGCAAATCCAGGAAAATCAGAAGCCTGGATCCGGAGCTCTAAAACTTCAGACTTGGGCTCTGGGATGACAAGGTCCAGAGTAAACAGAGGGCTGACAGATTCTGTGCTGGGACACAGAGTCCACTGGTGCTTTTATCTTAAATTTTAAAAATTAATGATGTGTATTTTCGTGTGTATGTGTAGGTATGTGCATATGAAGGCAGGGGCCATGGAGGCCAGAGGAAGGCATTGGATCCTTTGGTTACAGGTGGTCGTGAGATGCCCCAAAATGGGTGCAGGCAGCGGAACTTGGATCTTCCGCAAGAGCAGTGTGTGCTCCTAACTGCTTAGCCATCTCTCCAGCCTCTTGCTTTATTTTTTGAGATAAGATGTCATGTATCCCAGGCTGGGCTGGAACTTTTTATGTCACCAAAAATGACCTTCAACTTTTGATCCTCCTGCCTCTACCTCCCTAGTGCTGGGACTGCAGGCATGCACAACACCGGTTTTATGTGTACTAGAGACCTAACCCAGGAATTGTTTATTCATAAGTATGAGTGTCCCTGAATGGGTTCATGTGCACCATGGGTGTGCACATGCCTGCAGAGACCAGAAGAAAGTGTTGGATCCCCAGGAACTGGAGTTACAGATAGTTGTGAGCTGCTGGATGTGGGTGCTGGGAACTGAACCAGGGTCCTCTGTAAGTGTAGTAAACACTCTTAACCACAGAGCCACTTCCCCAACCCCTCATTATCTTTTTAAAAATTATTCTTTAGCTGGGCACTGGTAGTGCACGCCTTTAAACCCAGTACATGGGAGGCAGAAGCAAGCAGGTCATTGAGTTCGAGGCCAGCCTGGTCTACAGGGGCAACTTCCAGGACAGTCAGCGATACACAGAAAAACCTTGTATCAAAAAACAAAACAACAAAAAAGCTCCATTTTTTTATTTTATGTACCTGACTGTTTTGTCTGAATGTATGTCTGTGTACCACATGTGTCTGATGTATGCAGAGGCCAGAAGAGGTAGATGAGCCCCCTAGAACTGGAGTTACAAGCAGTTGTGAACCACGTGGTGCTGGGAATCAAACCCAGGTCACTAGAAGAGCAGCCAGTGATCTTAACCATTGAGTCATCTCTCCAGCCCCAAACTGCGTTATTTTTGAGGAGGAAGGAAATACTGTCATACTGTGAAGATGACATCCGTAAGAAGAACATGACATCACAGAGTCAAAGGCAAGGAACCCAGTTCTCTCATTTAGAAACCCTCCCTTCCCTGTGACCTCTCTCAATGCTACCTTCTTATATCCAGGATGCATGCCCCGCCCTTCCTTGCCAGCAGACTGACCTGCAGAGTCCTACGTGAAGTGACCCTGAGCCAAACAGAGATGCCAGGACTCTAGAATACCAGCCCCCTCCCCCCCACCCCATGTACCCTCAGACTCCTCACTGTCCATCTGGAATCCCTGCCAGGGAGAAGGGACAGGAGGGTGGCGGTAGATAAGCTGTATTAGGAGTCCCAGGAACCACGTGCAAATCTACCTGGTCGTTCAGCCCCACATTCACCATTGTCATTTCTCCAACCATCTCGATCCAGCTGGTGCCACAGGGGTTGTGAGAATTGACGCCCCTCCGGAACCACACCTGGAAAATGAGAAAGAAACATGTATCTATGGAGATCTTTGGAGACAGGTGTGTGTGTGTGTGTGTGTGTGTGTCTGTCTGTCTGTCTGTCTGTGCCTGAGCATGCAGATATGTGTGCACGACAGAGGACATTCCACAAGTGCCATCCACCTTGCTTTTTTAAGACAGGGTCTCTCACCAACCCAGACCTTGCCAAGTACGCTTGGCTGGCTGGCCTGCAAGCTCTAGGAATCCATCTGTTCCCATCTTCCAGCACTGGGGTCACAGGCACACACCAGCATGCCCAGCACACACCAGCATAGCCAGTACTGGGATCACAAGTGCACATCGCACACCCAGCACTTTTACATTGGTTCTAGGGCTGGAACTCAAGTTCTCATGACAGGAAGACAAGTGTTTTACCAATTGAGCCACCTCCAAATCTGAGGGGAGCTTTTCATTGTATTTTTACTTATTTATTTGGGGAGGGACAGAGACAGACATATATCATAGCTTGCACTTGGAAGTCAGAAGACAACCATGTGCATCCTAGGGCTTGAACTCAGGTCACCAGCCTTGGTGGCAGGCACCTTTACCCACTGAATCACCTCACTACTCATTCCAGAAAGTCCTTTTAAGGTACTGGGTTGACAGGAATGGCCCATGCATATATACTTAGAATGAACCCACGATGTACAAGGCCTAGTGCCCTTCCCCCAGCACCACAGCAGATAGGGAGATGACAGATGAACAGACAGATTTCTCAAAAGCATATAAAACTGGTTCACTTGACTGGACCTGCCTCTGATAAGACACAAGTAACAAAAGAGAAGAGAGAAGCATTTGATTGGCCAAGGTTGCTGGCATATTGGCTTCCCATTATCTGAGATGGTTGGCCTATGGAATAATAAACATGGTTATCAGCATTTCAGTCCAGGGATTCGAATGAGGGTACCATGAGCCAGTATCACACATCCTGGAGATGGGTGATGATATCAACAGCAGAAAAGCCCACAGCAGGGGTAGGGATGTGGCTCAGATGGTAGAGGAGTTGCTTGGCATGCATGATGCCTGGGATTTGGTCCCCAGTGTCAACCAGGTATGATAGTACACATTTGTTATCTGAGCAGGAGGGTTGGGAGCTTAAGGCCAGCCTCTGTTACATACTAAGTTTAATATACCATCTTAAAAAGAAAAGGAAAACTTTCAGGATTTATACGAATGTTCTTAGATGACCCTCACAGGAACAGAGGACACCCTTGGTATTAAATGGCACCATTACCCACCCCAGCTCCAGCCCCCAACTCTTACTTTGCGGTCCTTCGTGATGGCCCAGACCACACTGACTCCCGCGGAGACGTGCATGATACCATTTTCAGACCCAGGAGGCTCCACTATGGACCAGGAACTTCCTGCCAGTCCCCAGAGAAACCCCAGGCAGCTTCCATCAGCCAAGATTCTGGACAGGAAGCACCCCACTTCCTATTATGGGGCTGGTTACCTTTTGGGTTGTTCCTGCAGATTCCTTCTCTGACCAGGGCTTGCCCCTCCCAGAGGGTGGCCCATATAAGGTCGTGGGGCCCACAGCTGATCTGAACCACCTCCCCTGGGGTATCCACAAGAGACCAGGAAGAGCCTTCTGGGTTGGGGTGGCTGACATCCTCTCGGTACCACACCTGGGAGGAGAGAAGAAATTATGGTATTTGCCATCACCAAATCTGTCCACCTGCAAAGGTCACACATGGGGGTCTCTGACACACTCGCATGCCCCCCCACACACCTTGGTGAGAAAATGCAAAGCCTGGATTGGGGGGGGTGTCTAGAGAGACCCATCTAGTCTCTGCAGATTTCCAGTGTCAGCATGGGGCGCTCAGCAGCTCCCAGGCAGCCCATGACACCTGTGCCCCCTAGTGGCAATGTGTGCCCAGGACACCTGTCACAAGGGAAGGCAGGGACTCGGTGGTTTAAACCCAATGCCTAAAATGTCCTCTTCTTTTGCTCTTTAAACTAAACAATGAAAATCCCCTTTCCCCACATCATCTTTGCTAAGGATTGTTGTCCATTACTTTCTTAATGATAGCAATTCTGATTCTGGTGAGATGGACTCTCAAAAACAGGTGTGTGTGTGTGTGTGTGTGTGTGTGTGTGTGTGTGCACGCATGCGCACATGTTCATATTTGTGCATGATTATGTCACATAGGGCCTACAGAATAGGATCTGTAGCTGGGATTGACAGCATATACCTATGCAATTGGTTCAGTTCAGGTAAAGGAGGTTAGGGATGATCTTCAGAACAGGGACCCTGACTTCTCTGATCTTGCCAACCTACCCTTATGACCGGCCCCGCAGGACCAGGCCTAGGAAGCCTCCCTTTTGCTACCAAGAAGGCAGCTTCAGGGAATAAGTCTCTCCTTTCCGGAGCACAGGGTCCTGGGGCCACCTCTCCTAGAGCACAGGAGAGGTGCTGGATGTACTGGCTCACAGCTGATGCTCGGGGAGCAAACACAGGTGCAGAGGGGTGTGGCTCCTCCTCTACCTTCTCTCTGCATCCAGGTGGGATGTCTTGAGCTAGTGCTCTCACCCAGCCTGACCCTCTCCACTGCTTCCACCCCGCTCGCCCCTCCCCACCGCTCTCACCCCGCTCGCCCCTCCCCACCGCTCTCACCCAAATCATCTCTCTCCACCACACTTCAGATAGGAAATGATTGTGGTTCACCTAACCCTGAGAGAGCACGACCCCAGCCCAAGGTAAGCCTGCTAAAAACAATCTGCTTAGACTGTTCCAAAGTCAGTGGAGATGTGTGGTTAATGTGGTTAATGCAGGAGTTACTGAACAATCTTAAAATAAGCTCCAAAACCACGAGGAAGGCATCAGACTCCTATGCTTGGGACCATCTGTGTTCCTGTTGCCATCCAGGCTTGGTGTTTTTCACAAACTCTCTAAGAAAAGATTTCTCCAGCCTCCAAAACAATACAGAGAAACCCTGTCTCGAAAAGCCAAAAAAATTAAAAAGATTTCTCTCTAAATATGCATCTATCCATCACCTATCAATCAATATAACTACCATCTACCCATCCATCATCCATCCATACATACATCCATACATACATACTTATATACATCAATCCACCACCCATCCATCCCTCACAATCCATCTATACACCTACCATCCATTCATCCACCATCAATCTACCCCCTACCCACACAACATGTATCCAACCATCCATCTAGTCAATCAACCACTTGACACACTCCTCATCCCCCTCCTCACTTCCCATTCGTCCACACACCCATCATCCATTCAACCATCCACCCAACCATCTATTCACTCACCCACCATCCATTTGTCCAACCATCTACCTGTCATCCCCCACCCACCCGCAAGTCTCTGTCATTTATTCACATCTACTTACCACCCATCTATACATCATCCCTCCATCCACATACCCACCATCATCCACATACTACACACCATCAGTCTATCTACACATCAACCATCCACCCACCCATACATCCACAATGCTCCTGGAGCCTGGAGGAAAGAGCTGGCAGGGAGCCCAGAATCTGACAGAATTGATTTCATCTGAGCCCAAAGTGGGCTAGGAGGAGGGACAGGTCCCAAGGCTTCCAGGGGCAGAAGGCAATGAGCTCTCTTCCTCCACCTTGGGGAATCCCTGCGCCACTCCAGCCGGCCGCTGGTCTCCTTGGCCATGTCAAGTCTTGGCCACCGTGGTAGTGGGACCTACCTTTCCCTGCAGGGACACAGCCCACACTGACAGGCGGCCCACAGGCTCCTCTGTGATCTCCCAACCTCCCACAGACAGGTCATTGAAAGGGTCAGGGAGTTCCTTGGGGTCATCCTTTGAGGGAATCTGAAACAAAGGAGTGAGAAGCAATGGCTGTCATTACCTGTGGCCTGCACTATGTCACCGTCCCTCCCCTGCCTGCCTCTGCCTCTAGTCCTTCCACCCTCAGTGTGGTCCATGCTGCATGACCCCATGAAGAAGGTAGCCACAAGACTGTAGGTGGGACCTGGCCATGGACACACACTGTTCTGTTCCCCTCCTAAGACTCCACCCCCAAGCCACTGCTTTTGAGTTGAGTCATGGAGACAGCACTAGCACCTTGGTCAGGGAGGGAAAGCCTAAGGAAGGACAAGTTCTGTGCTAACTTTGGCCCCTAAGTGGCCATCTCCCAAATGAGGGGACTTGTAGGGCTACAAGGCTCTGTGACAGTAAACAAATCAAAGGCCAAATTCTAGGGTGGGCATGGTTTCCCCTTCTGCCCCAGTACGGGGAGGAAGATGCCTATCTTTTTGACCCTCCTATCGGGGACCCCATGCCCCATCGCCATGCCCCATGGAGGCACAAAGACCTTGGCCCAGGTGTCCCGGGATTTGTATCTCCTGTACCGGATCCACTTTCGTCTCCTCACGCATGAGTTCCACTTCTTGTCTCTAGTGTAGGTGGCAGGGAAGTCCATAGCGTATGTCCACCCCTGAAATACCAAGGTTGGAGCCTTATCTGGCTTGGCGGGGTAGGGGGTGGAATCTGAAGAGGTGGGAAGGTGGAGGAATAAAGGGAGGGAAGAAGGGAATAGGGTGTCCAATCCCATAGCAAGCAAAGGTTGGACACCGACAGGGAGGGTGGCACAGGGGGACAAGCTGAGCCCAAGAGGCATCCATGGAGGGTACTAAGTTCACCTACCCCTTTCTCGGTGGGCTCCCCTCCAAAATTCTCATCCACATACCAGTCTGATTCCCATTCCCAGTGTGGCGAGGGCAGTGCTACCCCATCCAGCGGCCGATGCTGGAGCCCACTCACGTCACTCCACGACCAGCGGTCACTCGGCAGGAGCTTCTCACAGAAGCCTCCCATGGGGTTCCAACGCTGAGGCCAGGGGACACAGAGATGGTCTTAGGAACTAGCCAGATGGGACTGGAAACACCTCAACAATCCCATGCACACCCAGCACTACCTGATTCTCATAGGCCTCCTCTCGGTGGCGGATGGGTACATCACTGGAACACACGTACAAGTAGACCTGGTTGTCGCAGGCGATGCCCCAGCAGCACTGAGTGGCGGCACTGACCCGCTTGAACTCCATCTGGACATCCTTGCAAAGCTCCCAGCACTGGCCAGCCGTGGACAAGGTATACACTCTCCCGAAGAGGTCCACTGCCCACAGCACAGAGGTGGGCATGGCCACAGTGCTGTGGGAAAGACAGGGGCAAGCAAAAAGGAACCCATGTCATGGTTCTTGGAGCAGGCACATCACAGGAACCCTGTCCCTGTGTGGTGGTGACTGTATCATGCCACATGCGGCAAAATGAGGTCCCAAGAGACAAGCAAGCAGTCACCGTAGCAACCAGAAGCAAAGTATGTCTTCCAGTATAAACTTCTTTCTTTGCCTCTTCCTCTTTCTCATTAGGGGGTGCTTTGCCTCTTTAAATTGGAGACAGGGTGTCATGTACTCCAGGGTTGGTCTCAAATTTTCTCTGTAGCTAGGATGATCTTGACTTCTGATCCTCCAGCTGCTACTTCCCAAGTGCTGAGATCACGGGTATGCCTCACCACACCCAGTTCATGTGGTGCTACCCAGCATGCACCAAGTGCTGGGTTTTATCCCCAGCATCCTACAGAGTAGGTACTATGGCTCTTGCCTGTGATCCTGGCACTGAGAAGGAGGAGCTGAAGGCCCACCTTGGCTACATGAGAACCTGTAGAGAGAGTCTAGCTGGGAGTTGGAAGTACTGGGGAGATAGGTAAGTTTACTTAGGGACCTCAAGGCTGTGCCAGGCTGCTCTACTCTTGCAGTCTGCCACAAGCACGGGGGCGCTCCAGAAGGTATTGCCAGTGTCAGGAGGACTGGAGCATCTGCCATAGGCAAAACTGGCTCTTTTGGAACCCAGTGAGCCTCACAGACACAAAGGAGAACGTAGGCTGCAAAGGAAGAGGCGAGCAGCAGGGATATGCAGCAGGAAGCCAGAGGCAGGCAGGGACAAGTTTCGAGAAATATCCATGACCTGAAGTAGAGAGGCTGACCATCAGAATGGAGTGATTTTGGGGGGTATGGGGGGAATGGAGTGTTCCTACAGAACCAATGCCCTCTTCATCCTCTTTAACACACACACACACACACACACACACACACACACACATTCAGGTACACATGGGGATGGAATGGGAATCAGGATACTAGCTTTCTGATCTAAAAGGTGTCTCTGTCTAGAGGGCTCAGTGGGGCTCCAGAAGGCACCTTCCTTCCTCTAGGCCAGGCTTGAAGGTCCCTCCACCCCTCACAGTGACTATTGAGAGTTGCCAGAATCCAGAGTAGCAGAGTTTGTGGCCTGGCTCTATTACTTCTTTTCTTCATTACTTTGATTGCCGTTTGTTTTTATTTTGTTTAGAGATAGGGTCTCACACAGCTCAAGGTGGCCTGGAACTCACCGTGAAGCAAAGGATGATATTGAACTCCTAGCTCCATCTCCCAAGTGATGGGCTTACAGGTGTGCACCCCCACGAGTAGCTTCCAACATCACCAAAGTTAACTATCCTCTCTGTGCCTTGATTACGTGTAATAATGTGTGACAATCCGAAAGGGTGACCTACTTCCTAAGAACCAAGTGAGGTAATCCAGACACCGAACTTATGATGAACACTGCTCAGTATCCAGCATGACTTTTGTGACTGCCACTGATGTCACTATCACTTGATCACAACCATTAATCGCTCATCTCAGTTTTGGTTTATTTGTTTGAGTCAATGTCTCACTGGCCTGGACCCCAAACTCTTTCTACCTCAGCATCTTTAGTGCTGGGATTACAGGTGTTTTCTGTCTCACCAAGCTCCAGTCTCTTAAAAAAATCAAGCCAGAGGTGGGCAACATGGCTCAGTAGGTAAAGGTGTTTGTCACACAGGCTGGCATTGTGATTTTAACCTCCTGAATACACATAAAGGGAGAAGTAGGTAACCATGCAAAGTTGCCCTCTGAAAATTAGCATATGCACACACACAAATTAACAAACTTAAAAAGTAATTTTTTAAAAAAGAAAATAAAATTCAAGCCAGCCAAGGTGGTACATTCCCATAGTTCTAGCACATAAGAGGCAGGAATAGGATGAGGAGTTCAAGGCCAGCCTAGGCTGCATAGTAAGGTCTGTCTCAATCCCCTCTCCTCCAAAAACAATTCACAATTCAACGTATAAACAGTCAGTTAAGTAAAGCTCAGCCTGAAGGTTGAGCTCAAAAGGTCAAGATGTATTTGAAACATTTTCCTTCAGATAAATGACTGAGCAGCAATTTTCTTTCAGACATAATTGAACCTTCTGGGTAGCTAATGGAAGAAAACACTGCTGTAGAAACAGGATGGAGTTGGGGCTGTATTTACAAACTCCTGCGAAGTGGGGACTCAGGCACCAGTCACACATGAGCTAAAGGGCATACAGGGAAAGCATCCTTGGCCAACCACAGCTCCTTTCTGCCTCCACAGGCTGTTCCTCCAACGTGTCACATGCCACTTCCTGTGAGGTCACCATGCAACCTGGCTTGGGTCACTAGATCACAGGACTCTTGAAGTGGGTGTGTGGAGGTCTTGTGCTTCTGGGATCCTGAGATAGCATTGTTTTTGCAGAAGTGACGGGCTAAAAGGAACATCTCCCATGGAAGCAAACCTCTATTTCACCACAAACCTCTAAAAACAAATGTAACTTGGTCCTTCGGGCACTTGGTTAAAAAGACTCGACACCACAAAAGCCATCCGCCTTTCTGGGTCAGTTTATTCACAGATCCCTTCAGAGACCAAAAAATAGCCTGGGTGGTGGCACATGCCGTACTCTCAGTGCCAGGAAGGCAGGATTGCTGTGAGCCCAAGCTCACCTGGCCTAAATAGTGAGCCCCATGTCTCAAAACAAAAACAAAAACCATGAGGGATGGGAAGATGACTTAGTTGATCAAGTGCCTGGTAAGGAGAGGACCTAAGTTCAACTCATGTTTAAAAGAAAATAAAGTGTGTCCTGGGGGTGGGGAGAGCTCGTCAGGCTGATTGGATAAAGATACTTTATATCAAGCTGGACCACCTAAGTTCCATCCCTGGGACTCACATGTCCAAAGGAGAGAACTCACACCTGCAAGTTATCTTCTGGTCTCCACGTGTGAGTCAAGGTAATCTCGAGCACACACATAATAATGAGTGTAAAATAAAATTTCAAGTGAGGCACAATGACACTTGTTTAGAATCCCAAGAGCTGGAGAGGCGGATCCTTGGAGCTTCCTGGCAGGAGGCCAGTAAATCTAGCTAATCCGTGGCCCCAGGCTGGTGAGAAAAAAACCAAGGTAGGTGGTGCAGGTTGACCTCTGGCCTCCACTTCCACATACGCTTCTGCACACACAAAGAGATTTTAAAAAGCCAGGGATCGAGCCCAGGGCAAGTGGGGGGTAGACGTCATAGAAACCACAACCCTGCAGAAGAAAGCATCCAGAATCTGTCTTAGGGCTCCCTCTTTTTCTATGACGCTCCCACTCCTCTCTGGTATGCACTGGCTACTAAAGCTGTTTTTTTGGCTGCCAAGTGCAGGAACTACTCCAAAGTGACATTAGGGTTAAAAGAGGAGACAGTAAACAGCAGAGCTTGTATGGGAGTGGGGGCCCTTCCTGAAGAATAAATAGAGTCCGCCCAGCCCTAGGGGGCAGGAGGCGTGCTGGTGTTTATCCAGTTCCTGCACTTGGGCGACAGGTGGGTCCCCTGCACTGCCATCAGGAGCATACGTGGGAGCTGTAAGGCCCTGACCATCTGCCTACACTAATCCCAGGGCAAGCAGATTTGCTTCCAACAACGTCAAGAGAGAAGGCTACAGACAGGCCCCTGGACGCTCTGTTTCTCTAAATCATTCAGGCTTCAGCGATCGGCTTCTAAAAATCGCTGCGGTCCTAAGGCTGCAGTGGGGGCGTGCTGTGATCCGGGTCCCGGGGCCGGCGTTTGGGGGTTCGAGGCAGGGGTGTGAGCGGTGCCTAGAAGGTGTACAGCAGAGAACACAGGTACAGTCCCTCTCCCTCTATTAATCGTCCCAGCAGACGCAGCCAATGGAGGAAGGGGAGCGGGAAACTGGAGGCACCTGTGCTCTGAGCCGCCCCAATCTCCCCGGATAGGAGTCCCCACGGTCCTGTCACCGATGCTACAAGGACACCGCGCTGCACTTACCTGGGCCCACGCCGGGCGGGGCAGGTTCCTAGTGGATGCTCCTGAACTCCTAGGCTAGAGCTACGGCCCGGCCCTCCCCCGGCCTCAGGCGAGAGGGCGGGCCGGAAGCAATGGTCAGTTCAGCTTTGATTGGGCAGACTCACAGTGACGCAACTGCCTGGGAGCTCTCGATAGATGGCTGCGCTCGGCGGGGAACGCACCCGCGCTGGGTCGGTGCGCATGCGCACCTCCGAGGTCGCTCTGGGTCCCTCCGGCCGGTGGCGTGCAGCGTGTGGGAAAACACGCGCCTTTGCTGCGTCCCCTCCCCCAGGACCCGGCTTCCGGAGCGGAGCAGGCCGGTGTAGACCCGAGAACCTCAGGCGAGGAGGAGCGGGTGGCGGGAGCGTGTTGGAGCTTGGGTGACTTGAGGAACGTGGGCGTGTGGAGGCGCGCCTGGCCTGGCACCCGCGGAGGAGGGCGCGTGACTCGATGATGGATTCCTTGGAACGAGAAAGCAGCCCTGAGTACAAACTTCAGTGTTTTGGGGAGGAATCCTGGAAACGTGACTTTTGTGACTGTACCGTGGCGTCTGGATACTTATCGCTCCATCTCTTGGGGTTGCCGTCGATTACTTAGCTCGATGGAGCATCTGTGAGTGTTCCCTGGTGATGCGTAGATGTGTGAGTGTTCCCTGGTGATGACTTTGCAAGAATTCCTTCCCTGGAGAGAGGTTTTTAAAAAAAGTCTTCCTATCTCTCATAAGGTCCCAATGACAGATCAAACTGATTGCCCCAAAGCTCGTCCTGTGGAACCTGTGAGTTTCTGGAGCTTTACTTACAGAGCGTGGATGAGGGGTTGCCTACAAAAGTGAGTGATCCTAAAGTTGGGGGCCTGAAAGCCCTACCCATCATGGCTGATGGCTTCCGCATAGCCAGTTACTCCAGCACCTCCTAAGATCGCGTGCAAGTAGGCAGAAAGACATACAAGTGACTAGGGGGAGAAGCTGGAAGCTCAGGTCCGGTGACCCTTCCCATCCCCTCGGGGGGGGGGGGGACTGCAGTAGTCTGGCCTCCAGCACGGTGATCTGATGGCTGCTTTCTTCCGAGTGCCTCATTCTACCACACGCTTGACCTCAATAACCCAGAAGGGCCAGGGCCGAGAGCCGCAGACTTTACTTCCCCCACCTCTTGAGTTTATGGTCTCATTCAGCAGGTTTGCTCAGCCACATGCTTCTTCCGTGGTGTGATGCCCTGCTAGGGACCTAAGAACAACATAGTGAGACACGAACTCACAAAATTGAGGCCAGAATAAGCATTTATGTATTTGTTTTTGAGACAAGAGTTTTGGTATGCAGCCCAGGCTGACCTTGAACCCAGGTCATCCTGCCTCAGTCTCCCAAGCGCTAGGGTTACAGGTGTGCACCACCACACCCAGCGACCTTTCCTCTTCATTAGCTATCTCAGGTGTTTGCTGCGGCAATGGAAGACTGACTATACACCCTCCTCCTTTCTTGGTTCTTACAAAACCTTTTATGTGCCTGAAGAGGTCAAAAAACGGGCATTGGATCCCCGGGAACTGAAGTTGTGAGCCACTATGTGGGTGCTGGGAACTGAACCTAGGTTCTCTGCAAGAGCAACAGTGCTCTTACCCAGCAAGCCTTCTCTTCAGCTCCCGTTCTGTTCTGAGGAAGCAGACGTCATGTGCCTGCAGCCTGGGACAGACAACTCCAGGGGAAGAAAAAGCAGAGGCTCCTTGTGAATACTGAGTAGGTTGGTGGCATCTGTCCAGCACCAGTGAGACTGGCACCGGCGGATTCAGCATGGAGGTGCGGGGAGAGGGTAAGGTCTCAGGGAGGAAAAGGGGGCGGTCCTCCGAGATTAGGATACTGTCTGCCACACCGCACAAGCTTTAGCATGGTCGTGGTCCTGGGAAGACCTGGGGTCTGTTGTCTGACACTTGTAGTCGTCTTCTTTGTCCCCAGTTTGCTCGTTGGAAGGCACTGCTGAGACCACTGAGGCCCCAGGCAAAGCTTGTGTGGTGTCCTGAGCTGTGCGCCCACGCTATGCCCTCCCCTCCTTGGCCTTTCGAATTCTGCATAGTTGGTTTTCTTCCATTGTCAGGAGTCTGTTTTTTAGCCTTCATCAGAAAGGATAGTCATCGTTTCTCTATTTTTTAATTAGTGTCTTTTAGATGTAATCTTGTTTATTTATGTGAGAGAGTGTGTGTGTGTGTGTGTATGTGTGTATACCTGTATATTGCTCACACAGGCCTGAAGAGGGTATCAGGTATCCTCTGCTGTCACTTTCTGCCTGTTCTTTTGAGGCAAGGGCCTTGCTTGAGCTTAGGACTGACTCACTGTCTCAGGCTGGAAGCCAGCACACCCCAGAGATCCTCTTGTTTTCACCCTGGGGATGGAGTTAGAGGCCTTCGTAGAGATGCCTGACTGGTTAAGTGAGCGCTGCATCTGAATTCTGGTCCTCGTGATTGCAGAGCAAGTACTCTTAATGTCCGAGTCATCTCTCCAGCCCCCGGCTAGTTTTAGGGTCCTTCCCCCCCACTTATAACGTGTACTTACTTTGTGTGTGTATGTCTGTGTACACGGGCATGTGAGCCACAGCACAGAGGACAATTTAGCAGAATTGGCTCTCTCCTTCTACCACGTGGGTCCCACGTGGGATTGAATTCAGGTTGTTAGTGAGTATCTTTACCCTCTGAGCCATCTTGCTGGGGTGCCTGATTAGTTCTTTGGCACAGGATCTCACTGGGTTGCTCCAGCAGGGATGGAACTCACTATGTAGCTCAGGTTTGCCTTAAACTTGCAATCCTCACCCTTGTGAGTGCCAAGATTACAGGCTGTGCCACGGCACCTGATGTTTGGCTATCTTTTGACATTTTAATTTTTTTATTATTACTGTGTGTTCATGATATTCCACAGTAGGAGTATAGAGGTCAGAGAATAACTGTAGAGCTGGGTCTCTCTCCCTCCACCTTTTACGTATGTTCTGGGGAGAAATCTCCGGTCACCAGGCTTGCCCAGCAAGTGTCCTTAGCCAGCCACCAACCCACTGTGCTCTCTTAACTTCCTTTGCATTTTCTTATCCGTTCAGATCTTGCCACTTCTCTCCTTGGCCAGATGCAGGGTGTTCAAATTGCAGCTCCGTCACTTACACCGTGAGTCACTCGGGCTCTGAGTCTATGCTGTAAAGTCACTTGCCTCCTGTTGGGAGGAGGAGGAAGAAGGTATGTGGTGGCATCCAGCATGTCGCTATGCCTCCTGAACCCATGGCTTTCCTGCAGTGCCTTACACTTGCTAGGCATGTGCTTATTCTGCCACCAAACTTCCTCCTAGCTTGTCTTGTCATCAGATTCGGGTCTCTTGGTCATCATTGTTCATTGCCTAGTTCTGGAAACTCTTTAGGGAAAACACTGAGCTCATCACTCTCTCCCAGAATTGGCAGCAGCTGTGCCTCCTCTGCCAGCGTGGACTGTACTCTTGAAGTATGAGCCTAAGTACCCTTCTGCTCTGGCCTCTAAGTGGACCCCCCCTCCCATATACAAGTGACAGCATTTAAACAACATGAAAAATAAATGAAAATGAAATGAAAAGTGTGTGTCTCTGTCCTTGGCTGGGAAAGCTCACGGAGACTGCTCACACTTGCAGTAAGTGTTTGAATCTACATCGGCATATCTAAATGAGATCAACATGCCCTGAGGAAATGGTTTTGTTTTTGTTGTTGTTTTGAGACAGGCTCTGAGTGTGTAGCTCTGGCTGTCCTGGAACTCACTATGTAGACTAGGCTGGCCTCAAACTCACAGAGATCACCTGCCTCTGCCTCCCAGGTGCTGGGATTAAAGGTGTTCCACTACACCCGACGAAAAAAGTGTTGTTTTTGACTGGTGATGTAGCCTACTATGCACAGGGCCCTGGGCTTAATCCCTGGTCCACCCCCCCCCAGGGAAAAAAGAGAAAGAGGAAAACAAAAAAGTGGTTTTTTTAATTTCTAAAAATAATAATAACAAAGTTAAACCACAAAACCTCTAAAATACAGACTAACAACAGTGGGTCAATAGTCACTCAGGGTACCTGAGAAAGTTCAGGACCCTCCCTACCTCTTCACGAAGTCCCTCTGACATGGTAAATGAAGCATGCATTTGACTGACATTTACAGATTCTGCATTAGCAGAGTGGTTTATTCAAATTGGCCAGGAGGTCATTTCACCAGGAGCTGAAAAGGTGTAGGGGAAGAGAAAGAGATGTTTGAGAGAAGGCAGGCGACTCTAAGGCTTTGGGCTGTGTGAATAAAGATGGTTGAGAAGGGTTAAGAAGGATAAACTTATGAGGTCTGTGGTGGAAGAAAAGGGTCTTGCACTTCCCTTGTACAAGGAGTAGGAGGTGGAAACCCCAGGTTAATTTACCCAACCGATATTATGATGTGGGAGGCAAATAAAACTTGCACTCCTCCTTAATTGAGGTTCCCAGTGCGCACACACCAGTCACCGCCCATCCCTGTGTATTCATGTGGGGGCTAAAGGCTGCTCTTGCGGTTTGATTCTTACAACGGTAAAATTTCAGTGTGTTCAAAACCAAGCTATAATTCGTGAGACCATTTTTTTGTTGCTTTTTTTTTTTTCTGGCAATGCCAGGAATCCAATCCAGGTCCTTACACACAGACTAAGCAAGTGTTCCACCACTGAGCTGCATCTCCAGCTGTGGCATACTTACCTAGAAAACTCGACTGGGGCTGGTCATGGAGCTCAGTGGTAGAGACCTTATCTGTCAGATGTGGGGACCCTGGCTTTGATGCCTAGAAGTTCACTATGAGAAAAACGACAGGCAAACATCAGTATTTAGTTTTTACTCAAGAAATGTAATTTGTTAAATAAACCAGTTTTGGGAACTAAGTATCTTTCCTGGTTTTCTATAATCACACGTGCACACTTGTGAAAACAGAGTTTGTGGCATCAGATGTGTTCCTCTATTGTTCTCTACTTTTTAAATTTTGTTTTGCTATTTTTCAGTTATTTTTATATTTTAAGTGTGTGTATTTTGTCTGCAGGTATGTGCACCATGTGTGTGCTGTGCCTGGTGCCTGTGGAGGACAGAAAAGGGTATTAGAAACCCCGACTCTGAGAAGGGAAAGTGGGTACAAAGCCCACTCCTAACCAAGAAGCTATTTGCAATTGATGCCTGCTGAAGGGAAATGCGTTTCCTCCAGTGGAGTGTCACTAAGTATATTAACCACATTCCAGGGCAGGTCCCATGCACAAGAGCGGTTGGCCAACACCAAATGGACTCTATTTTTGTGGGGTTTTTGTTTCATTTTGTCATACTTTGTTTTGCGTTTCATTTTTTGTTTTGAGTGAGGGAGAACATGAAGTTTGTTAGGTAAGGAAGTGGGGAGGATTTTTGAGGAGTGGGGGAGGGGAAGAATATGATCAAAATATATAAAAATGGTCTTTGATAAATATTTATTTATTGATGACTTTTTTTCAATACAGGGTTTCTCTGTGTAGCCCTGGCTGTCCTGGAGCTCACTCTAGATCAGGCTAGCCTTGAACTCACAGAGATCACCCATCTCTACCTCCTGAGTGCTGGGATTAAAGGAGTACACCACCACTGCTTGGCTTGGTAAAAATTTTAAAAAAGAGTTGGGAAATAGAAAAGAAACAGATGTCAGATCTCCTGAACCTGAAGTTGTAGATGGTTGTGAGCCACTGTGGTGGTTTGGATGAGAATGGCCCCATAGGCTCCTATGTTTGAATGCTTGGTCTACAGTTGGTGGAAGTGCCTGGTAAGGATTAGGAGGTGTGGCCTTGTTTGAGGAGGCATGTCACTGGGGGCGGGCTTTAAGATTTCAAAAACTATGCCCTTCCAGTTAGCTCTCTCTGCCTCTAATGTGTGCCTGCCTGCCTGCTGCCTTGCTTTCCATTATGAAGGTCAGGGACTCACCCTCTGAAACTGTAAGCTAGCCCCAAATTAGATGCTTTCTTTCGTTAGTTGCCTTGGTCCCCGCAATAGTAACAGTAGCTGAGACAGCCACCATGTGGTTGCTTTCTTCAAGATCAGCAAATGTTCTTAATCACTGAGCCAACCCTCCAGCAATTTATTTTTGTTTTACTGGTGAGGCAGGGTCTCACTATCCCTGCTGGGCTGGAACTTGTTCTGTAGACCAGACTATCCTCAAGCTCACAGACGTCTGCCTGCCTTTGTGTCCTGAGTGCTGGGATCAAGGGCAGGCACCACTGTGCCTGGCTCACTGCTCTTTTAAATCTGTGTGTGTTGTGGGAACATGGGACATACTGTAGCACGCTTGTGGAGGTCAGAGAACATTGTTAGGTGTTCATCCTTACCTTCCACTTTGAGACAAAGTTTCTTGTTCTGTATTTCAGACACCAGGCTAACTGGCTTTCGGGGTTCTGCTCTGTCCACCTCCCAACTCTGTTAAGAGCACTGAGATTTTAGGCACAGGCTACCATATCCGAGGTTTTGTTTTGTTTTAACATCACACCCCAGCTCACCAGCCCTCCACCTTAGCTTTTGGGCAAAGGTCTCTCACTGGACTCAGCAGCCCAGCCAGACTGGCAGGTAAGTGCGAGGGACCCTCCTGTCTCTGCCCTTCACTAGGGTCGTAGGTGCTGCGCCTGAGTCTCTACGTGGACGCTGGGCATCCAAACTTAGGTCTTCATGTTCGCATGGCAAGCGTTACCAGCTCCCCAGTCTCCTACACAAGTTTTACTTCGTGTCATTGACCTACATGGTGATTTTTTTTTTCATCCCAAACTCTAGCACAGAAATGGAGCCCCATTATTGACTGCTGCTGTGTGCAGGATACAGCCTCCATTGAGACGGATGAAACCCTGGTTTCTGCCCCGTTGAGCCTCAACCAGCAGATGAGAGTTTCCACAGTGATCCATTCTGACCCTCCACTTCCCAAGGCCGGTTGTGCACAATGGCCAGACTTGAGACCAGCAAGGAAGCAGTAGTTTTTGTAAAGAAGAAAAACTTAAGAGATTTTTAAAGACACGCTGGAGAGTAGAAGAACGAAACCTGGATGAGATGTCAGAAAGATGTGTGAGTCTATGTGTGGTCCCTGTGGTGGTTTCTATGAGAATTGCCCCATGGGCTCCTATGTTTGAACCCTGCTGCAGCCACAGGTGCAGCGAGTCCCCAAACCCTTTGTTCCTGCCATGTCTGAAGTCAAAGGCTCGAATGTCTGAGTGTCTGTATCCAGACCTTTGTCCTTTTTCTAGGGACTGGGCAGTTGAGAGAGCTAGGGCCTTGATTTTACCATTCCCCACTCTGGGGAAATAACTGTTTCTCTACAGTTCATAAGAACACTCTAAAAAATGTTGTGTGCATTCATGTATGTGGCTTATGCATGTGTGGCAGGTGTGTGTATGTGTGTGTGTTTAAGGCAATGGTTGACATTAGGTGTCTTCCCTAGTCATGTTCCATTTTTTTTTTTGAGATATGATCCCCTGATGAATCTGAAGCCCACTGCTACCTGACAAATCTCAGGAATCCCCCTGCCTCTACCTCCCAGTACTGGGATTATAGCACTGCATCTGACTTTTTTATGTAGATGTTGGGGATCAAACCAGGGTCTTCAGGCTTGCGTGACAAGTACTTTACTGACAGTCCCCTCATCACAAGATTTTGAAGTACTGTTTCATGTAACCCAAGGCTGACCCCAAACTCACTCCGTGCTTCAGGGTGACTGTTAACTCCTGATCCTCCTGCCTCCACCTCCTGGGTGCTGGATTGCAGGCCTTTATGCAGTACTGGGGATGGAGCCCTGGACTTCCTGCGTGCTCGTCGAATACTCTGCCAATTACCAACTAAGCTGACTCTTTATCCCCAGTTATGATTCAAAGAAGCCATGTGTATGTCTATGTGTACACGCGTGTGTGGAGGCCAGAGACAATGTAAAGTGGCCTCTTCAGTAACTCCACCATGCTTTTTTGAGACAGGGTCTCACTAACCTGGACTCATTCAGTCGGTGCACGCTGGCCAGCACACTGGGTCCTCCTCTTTCCACCTCCTCGCACTGGCATTACAGGTACAAGGCACGGCACCTGGCTTTTGTCCCTGGGTGCTGGGAATCCAATCCCTGTTCCTTGTGCCTGCATGGCAAGCACTTAACTGAGCCATAATTGCCCCAAACCTTACTTGTAGTTTTTCTATTAATATGGGAAACACCAAGATCAATTTTGGTTAGTGTGGTGTTTTTGTTGTACTGGAGACAGCCCCTGACTTTGTACATTCTAGGCAGGGACTGACCTACATCCCAGCCCCATATATTTGGTTAGTTAGCTTGTTTGTTTTCTCTTTCTTAGGACAAAAATCTCAAAGAGACTGGAATTAGATTTGTGACAACTTTTTCTGCCTTGGCCTCCTGAGTATTGAAATTGCAGGCAAAGCCAACATGCCCAGCCCTTGTGTCCATGTTTTTTTATTTTATTTTTTCAAGATACAGTTTCTTTGTGTAGCCCTGACTATTCTGGAACTTACTCTAGACCAGGCTGGCCTTGAACTCACAGAGTTCCACCTGCCTCTGCCTCCCAAGAACTGGGATTAAGGGTGTGCACCACCACCACATTGGCTCCTGGAAGCTTTTCTAAAGAGGAAAGAAACAAATGACTAAATGGAGAGATGTTAATATTTGGATACAAAGTCCCCACCCCAAAAGTAAGTGTAAAACCTTAAAGCCCATCCCCAGTGACACATTGCCTCCAACAAGGCCATACCGCCTAATCTTTTCAAGCAATACTGCTCCCAGTGACTAAGCATTCAAATAAATGAGCCTATGGAAGCTATTCTTATTAGAACCTCCACACTCCCTAAGAAAGGATAGTCTTTGTGGGTAGTATTTTACTGAGTGCCATGTCTCAGCCTCCTAACTACCTGGCCAAGAATCATTTCTGTGTGTGTGGAGGTCAGAAATCAACATCTAGTTTTTCAGTCAGTCTTCACTTATGTTTGAAGACAGAATCTCCCACGCAGTGATTAGGGTAGACTCCAAGGATCCCGTCTCCGCGGCTCCAGTGCTAGGATCAAAGATGTACATCTTCAGGCCTGTTATTTTATTTTATTTTTGTTAAATAATAAATGTTTTTATTTGTCTGATAACTTTTAAAATGTGAATATTCTGTGATTTAGCCACATAATTGATTTACTTCCAAGTAACTTCTTCATTGGGCCTCAGTTCCTTTGAAACAGCATACTCTTATTCCGGAAGGTAGTCAGCTTTTCGTCATCCCTCTTGTCTAGAGAGCATCCAAAGGCAAATCCCACAAGGACAAGTATATGAACCCAGCAGTCACTTACCAGCTAAGGCCAGGTCACCATGCCTGCTGCAGCACGGACTGAGGGCAGTGGCAGGAAGCCCTCAAGTCTGTATGTGGGCTCTGGGGATTGAAGCCAAGTTCTATGACATCATCGGCTGATCCCTTCTTTGTTCCAGCTGTCAGATGTCGAAGGATGAAGGTCATGACCAAAGCACTCGTTCCTAGGCAGCTGATGAATTGTGTCTGAATCCTTCCTTGACCCGCCAATTCATTCTAAAATATTCTCTATAAGTTGCGTGTGTCACAGTTTTTCTTTTCACGATTCATTGATAAATTATGAAGGATGCAGCTGAGAAACAAGAGCTGAAAGACAGAGCCGAAGACAGCTGGCATCGGGCTTCCATACCCTGTCTGGGAGCATATGCACATATATTCACTCATCAAATGTCACTGGGATAAGCCCACCCAACCCCCTTCCTGTATGTATATGCACTAGGTGTGCTCAGTGCCCACAGAGGCCAGAAGAGGGCATTGGATCTCTTGGAACTGGAGTTACAGACATTTGTGAGCTGCCATGTGGTTCTGGGAACTGAACTTGGGTCCTCTGGGAGAGC